TATAAAATGAACTGGAGAAGGAAATGGCAAAGCACTCCAGTGTCTTTGCCAAGAAAACCCCAAATGGGATCATGAAGAGTTGGACACAGCTCAACAACATTATTGTTTTTATTTATTTATTATTAATTTATTTTGAATTATCAACAATCACTTCCATAAGCTTTTGAGTTTTAGATTTTTCTCCTCCTCCTTCCCTACCTGCCTCTCCAAGTCAGCATGCAATCTGATATAGGCTATACATAGACATTCCTATTAAACATATTTTCACCAACAACGTTGTTATTATGGTCTACCTGGCACATAGTAAGTGCTTGATAAAAGTTTATTGACTATTATTATGGAAACCCATGACTGGAATGGGCTGCCTTGGGAGGCACTAAGGGCGTCATTACTGGAAGTGTTAGCAGAGACCAAAGAACCCTCCTTGGATGCTGTAGAGGGGAAATTCTTATCTAGGAACAGACCTTGACTCCCCAGCATGGTCTGCTGGTAAGAGCGCCGGGCTTGGCATCAAAGGCTCTGATTTGAATTCTAGCTCTGTTATGTGCTAGGTGGGTGACTTTTTTTTAAATGTATGTTTATTTATTTTTAGAAATTTTTTCCCCAGTTACATGTAAAAGCAATTTTTAACATTCATTTTTAAAACTTTGAGTTCCAAATTCTCTCCCTGCTTTCCTCCCCAATTCCATCCCCCACCCCGCATTGAGAAGGCAAGCAGTTTGATACAGGTTATGCATGTGTAGCCATACAAAACATATCCATAATAGTCATACTGTGAAAGAAAACAGAGACCCAAAAAAACCTCAAGAAAAATAAAGTAAAAAAAAGTATGCTCCATTCTGTATTCAGACACCATCATTCTTTCTCTGGGGATGCATAGCATTTTTCATCATCAGTCCTTCAGAGTTGTCTTGGATCATTGGCTGAGAATAGCTAAGTCATTCACAGCTGATCATCTTACAATATTGCTGTTACTTTGTACATAGCACATTTTACTTTGTATCAGCTCATGCAAGTCTTTCCAGGTTTTTCTGAGAGCATCCTGCTCATAATTTTTTTTTTTTGGCTTTTTGGTAAGGCAGTCAGGGTTAAGTGACTTGCCCAGGGTCACACAGCTAGTGAGTAATGGCCGGTGCACTATTCGCTGCAGCACCTGGCTGCTCATCATTTCTTATAGTACAGTAGTATTCCGTCATTCGTTCAGCCATTTCCCAATGGATGGGCTTCCCCTCAGTTTCCAATTCTTTGCCCCCAGAAAAGAGCTACTATAAATATTTTTGTACACGTACGTCCTTTTCCTTTTTGTTTTTTATCTCTTTTGGGATACACACCTAGTAGCGGTATTGCTAGGTCAAAGGGTATAGCCGGGTGACTTTGAGTAAGTTACTTTCACACTGGGTGGGGGGATTCCCTGTAAATCTCCCTGTAGAATGAGGGGGTTAAGCTAGATGTTAAAGTCTAAATCATATGATCCAATTTCCCTGAAAATTTTGGGTCGCAATCAATCAACATGTATTTATTAAGCACTCGCTATGTGCCACAAAATAAGAAAAAGTTAGGTAAACTCTTCTCTCAATGATCTTGCATTTTAATGGAGAAGACAACAAATATTTATACGTATATATAGAATGAAAAGAAAAAGAATAAATAACAGATGCTTAGAATCTTAATTTCCCCCCCTCCACCTTTGAGCCTCCAGTTCCTCATCTGTAAAATGGGGATAATACTTACACTGCCTACCTCGTGGGTTGCCTGTCTTCCATACTTTATGGGAAAAGTGCTTTGCAAACCATCTCGTGCTGTGGAAAGGTGAGTTTGCATTATTCTGTTATTATTCCAGCAATTACTCTGCATTACTCCAGCAAGCAGAGTGTTCTAAGACTTGAAGGAATGAGAGTCAAACCCTGGACTTGAAGGGAGAAAAGGAGGCAAGGGGTCAGAGCATTTCAGGCACGCGGATGGCCTGTTAAAGACAATGTTGAGGGGAGCAAGAAGGCCGCTTTGGCTGGATTTCAACTTTGCTTGAAGAGTCTGTAAAGGAGAAGAATGTATAATCAGGCCAGAAAGGTGGAGAAGCTGGAATTATTTTTTTCATTTTTAAAAATTGTAAACTTAATAGTTAATGAAAACAAACACAAAATAAGTGGTAAAATCCTGACTCAATTCTTAGCCTTAAACAGGCAGAAGCAGACAACATCAGACAAGCAAAGAACAATGTTAGGAAAACAGCACATTGGTCTAGAGCTTGGGTCTACCAAGTATAATCTACTAACAGATTATACTGTTGCCCTCAGTATTGCAAGCAGTTATTATGCCCATTTTACAGGAAACTGAGGCTCTGAATAGTTAAATGACTTGCCCACAGTCATACGGTTTAATGAATAATGAGAATTGTTGCTTATGTTCTTCCTGTATGCCAGGCCCTGTGCTAAGTGTTGGGGCTACCAATATATAAAAAGAGAGAGAGACAGAGACGGTACCCTCAAGGCACTTACATTCTGATAAGGAATGACGGGGCGTCTGGGGGAGGGGAGACCAGGGAAGCAAATTTTGTCCTGGTGGGAGGAAAGGGAGGGTACATGGTCAGTGGCAGGCAGATGGTGAGCTGGCTTGAGTGCAAGGCGGCTGGCTGGGCTGTAAAGCTGCTGAAGCATCCAGCCCGTGGCTGGAGAAGGCTAAGAGGTCCCAGTGTAGATATACTCAGTCAGTATCCAACTTCAAGGAAGAATAGACTGACTGTCCTGGGGACTGGGGCTTGGGCTCTGGAAGGCTTGGGTATGGAGCATGGTGGGAGAGAAGCAGGTCAATTAGCTGTATGGTGGGATGGGTAGATGGAATAGGAAGCTGAAGCTGGTGTCTGAGGCAGGAGAATGCTTCTGTCTCCTAGGCTGCCTTTGTTGGGAGCTGGAGGTTTTGAAGGAGAAGGTGGAGGGCAGTCACTTGGGATTATGGGGCACAAGTGGGGACTGTGATAAACAGCCTGAGGAGCCTGGGGGCCTGGAGGGGACCTAGGAAGGCAGAGGGTCACAGAAGAAGGAGTGGGAGAATGCCAAAGGGAGAAAGCTCTGACTCTGTTTTTCCAAAGACTGGTGTCATCAAAGTGAAATGTGGGAGCTTGGACCTAGGGATGAGAATGTGGGGTAGTGGTATGTGTGTATGTGGGCAGAGGGTGGGTGTGGGTGAGTATGTGTGTGTAAGGGGCTGAGCTTTCCCAGAATCAGAGCATTTGAGAACTGGAAGGTGCCAGTGGTCATTTAGTCTGACGTGCACCTCGTCACCTGTCTTCTCTGAATCGATCCCTTCCTCAGGTCTTCAGTCCACTCCCACACATCTGCCATTTTGGTATTCCCAAAGCCCAGGTCTGACAGTGTTACCTCTCCTGCTCAGTAAACTCCAGTAGCCTCCCATCTCCTCTGAGTTCAGATTTAAACTCTGCTTGCCTTTGGAAAGCCCGTCATACCTTGGCTTCAGCCACCTTTGTGGCCTGATTATACATTTTTCTCCTTCACAGACTCTTCAAGCAAAGTTGAAATCCAGCCAAAGCAGCCTTCTTGCTCCCCTCAACATTCTGTCTTTAACAGGCCATCCGCTGTGCCTGAAATGCTCTGCCCCTTTGCCTCCTTGTCTCCGTTCAAGACCCAACTCAGATCCCACCTGCAACTGGGGACCTTTCCTAGGTGCTCCTCCATGCTTTCCCTCTGAAACAATCTCTTCTGGATAGGTCTTATACGTGCCTGCTCATTCAGGTGTTGTCTTCCCCAGAGACTGGTGGGGACTGTTTTTGCCTTTCCTTATATCCCCAGGGGTTGCCTGGCACACAGTAGGTGCTTAATACATGCTTGGTGACTGACTGGGCCCCAGGGTGCTTGTCCTAGTTTTCTATGCCCTGGGAGGGATTATTCTGCCTGCTGCCTGAAGCTCAGAGGAAGGAATGAAGGCCAGCCCCAGACCTGTGGTTGTCTGAGTTCTGAATTGTAAGGAAAAGGAGATGACAGTCTCCATGGGAAACTTTGACACCTCCCCCCAATATTGCCTTTATAAGGAGAAAAAAAGAGTTGCATCCTCCTGGCGGGGGGTGTGTGGGGTCCAACTGCCAACCGCAAAGCTTTCTGTGGGTCCAGTGCAGCTCGTGCTGGCCCTTGGGGCTTCCAGCCGGTGCCAGCCAGTGTGTGGTTACACCCCTCGTTCTCTCCAGGAGAGACAAGAGTAGGACCCCACAGGGCAAAGTAAGCAGGGGGAAGGGAGTTGGTAGAGGGCTCTAGTTCCCTCAGCTCCACTCCAGGCTTCTGTTCTGGCCTCTTTCCACCTGGAAGCTGCCCATCTTGTCCTCAGCCCCATCTTTTCTCACCAGCCACTGGCTTCACCATCTTCATCTTCACACCTTTCAGCCCTTCCGGATTAACTGTGTGTTCACACGGACACATCTAGGTGATACCTGGAGAGCCAGACATAAACAGAAATAGACACTCATATACCCAGACTTTTTCTCCACCTCCTCACCAACCCTCCCCCCACCCCTGCAAAATTCCATTCAGAGAACCTGTAGGTGCAGACTCAGACACCACTGCCAGGAGCTTTTATACCTCTTTTACAGATAAGGAAATTGAGGCTGAGAGAGATGACCCTGGGGTCACAAGTGTCAGAGGCAGGATTTGAACCTAGGTCCTCCTGACTGCATATCCAGCACCATGGCCCCAGAGAAGTCTTGGGGAAAGTTGTCAAGAGGCGCGTCTATGGTGGTCTCCGTTAGAACGGGTGACCCCTAGGAATGGCAGGGGCTGTTTCAGGTGCTGATAGCCTCTCTCTCCAAAGAGGGCTTTCAGTGATGGCGGGAGGAGCACCTCCTGAACATATCGATAGGGGAGATGGGTCGGGCTGGGTGGCCTCCGGGCTCCCCCCAGTTCTGGATCGGGGGCCAGGAGCCAGTGAGGAGCAGCTTTGCCAGCCCTGATCCTTCTCCCTCAGCCATCCGCATCACTGTGCCTTTCCTTCCTTTTCAGAGGCAATGGTCCCAAGCAGGACGTTCCTGCTGGCGCTCTGGGCATGGGCCTGGGGGCCCCACGGCGCTCATGGTCAGACCGATGAAGATAACGAATTTCTGGAGGATCCCATCCTTTTTCTGAGGCCGGAGCCGGGGCAGGGGAGCCTTGATTGCCCCCGAGAATGTGTGTGCACACAAGAAGGTGTGGTAGACTGTGGGGGCATTGACCTCCGGGAGTTCCCTGGAGACCTCCCTGAGTATACCAATCACCTGTCCTTGCAGGTAAGAGCCAGATGCCTCAGTCACACAGCAAACTCTCCAGGCAAGATCTTGACCCATAGTGAGCTTTGTAAATGCTGAAGCCCCTTACAAATATCACTTCTTCTGTTCCTTTGGACTTAATCCAAACCTGGGCATTTAGCGGTGTAGGAAACTTCCAGTGTGGACAGCCCCTCCACAGCTTCTAATCATCAACTCACCTGTAATTTACACTCAGAGCTTGGCCTGGGGAGAAATGAGGTGATTTGCCAAGGGTCACACAGCTAAGATGTCTGAGATGGGGCTTGAAGCCTGTTCTTGCTGGCTCCAAGATGGATCCTCCGTCCATTCCATCACTCTCCTTATCAGATATCAAGTGGGGAAAGAAGGGAAAGAGTGTTGCCCCATTTTGAAGCAGCAAATGTGGCTTCAAACCTCATCCCATCTTCTGTGTAACCCTGATCAAGTCCAAAAACAGTTATTAAGCACCTACTATGTGTCAAGCACCATGCTCAGGGCTGGGCACACAAAGACAGCACACAAATACAGACAAGAAGACAGTCCCTGCCCTCAAGGAGCTCAGAGTCTAACAAGGAAGACAGCATGCAGGCAACTACATCCTCTTAACCTCCTTGGACCTCAGTGTGTGTGTAAGATGAGGAAACTGGTCTAGCTAATCTAGAAGGCAGGAACTCTTGACCTTTCTGGTGTCATGGATGCCTCTGGCAGTCTGGGGAAGCTTCCTCAGAACCATGTTTTCAAAGGGATAAAATACCTAAAGTTGTAAAGGAAATCCATTACATTGAAATAAAGATATATTTGTGTGTGTGTGTGTGTGTGTGTGTGTGTGTGTGTGTGTGTGTGTATTTGCCATCCAAGTTAATTGACCCCTGAAATCTATCCCTCAGGTTATGAACATCTACTCTAAGGTACCTCCCAGCTCTACATTTATGGGTTTTTTTTTTTGTTTTTTGGGTTTTTTTTGACTAGGCAATGGGGTTAAGTGACTTGCCCAGAGTCACACAGCTAGTAAGTGTTATGTGTCTGAGGCCAGATTTGAACTCAGGTCCTCCTGAATCCAGGGCTGGTGCTCTATCCACTGCACCACCTAGCTCTACATTTATGAACCAAAGATCATATATATGCATATATACATAACTAGTTGTAGATAGAGATATTATGTAAGAATGACTGACAGTTCTATGATGCTTTAAAAACAAGTTTTCAAAGGGTTTTTCTGGCTGTTGTTCATACACTTTACCCTCCTAATAAACTGAGTGTTCTCCGTCCCCCAACCCAGTCAGCCCTACTCTGTCCTGTCCCTGTTTCTTTGCCAAAGCACTTACCTGTATCTGGACTTACCTGTAACTGTGTCTGGTCTCCCTGTCCCCCTGCTCCTCTTCACCTCAAGAAATCTGCCTCATCCTTTGATGTCCCCTCCTCCAAGAAGCTTCCCTGGTCCCGTCTCTCCTGCCCCCAAGTCACCCTTTTTCTCCTCAAACCTCTCTAAAGCTCTCCTCCGACAACATGCAATGTCAGGTCTCCTGCCTGTTCTCCTGCCAGACTGTGCACTGTTTTGTCTCCTCCTTCCTTGGTCACCCCAGCTGGACATGATCTTCCCTTTGTGATTTGCAGTTGAATTGGTGCCGCCTCGTAACACTTTAATTAGTCAGCCAATGGTCTAGACTAGATAAACACCTCCCATCTCTAGAGAGCATGCTTTGCCACCAGCTCCAGGTGGCAAGCCCAGGTAACTGGGGGGGGGGTGCTGGTGCCCTCAACAATAATAAAGAAGTTGGAGAAATAATATAGATCTGGGAATTAATTAGCTGTTTAGAGATGATTGTTAAGCCCATGGAAGCCAATGAGAGAATATGGAGGGAGAAGAGAACAGTACTCAGGATGGAGACTTGGGGGACCCTTGTGGTTAGTGGACATGACTTAGAGGAAGAAGCAGCAAAGGACGCTGAGAAGGAGCAATCAGACAGAGAGAAGAAAAACCAAGAGAGAGCAGTGTGGTGAAAACAGAGAGAGGAGAAAGTATGGAGAAGAGAGTGAGCACCAGTGTCAGAGGCCACAGAGAGGTCAAGAAGGAGGAGGATGGACAGAAGTCCATTAGATTTAGCAATTAAGGAATCACTGGTGACTTGGAGACCTTAAAGTGCCATAGAAACACTAGCTAGCTCTTCTTTGGGCGTCAGTTTCACCATATGTAAGATGATGGAGGTGGACGAGGTGCTCTCCAAGGTCTGGTGCTAAGTCCTGTGATTCCACGAACATAAAACGTTAGGACCCAGAGTTTTGAAGCTTGAAAGGTTTTTAAGAATCTCTCAAATTACACATGAATCAGAATTTTGTTAGAAAATGCTGATCCTGAGGACAAATTAGTATAGTATGGTCCTACATAGATGCATATGAATGTATAAGTCTGTCTATGAGTATGATTATAGATATCTAAGTATATGTATGTGCAAATGTATGTATGTAAGGGTATATGTATGTATATAAGTACATATATATTTGTGTGTATGTGTCTATGTATGTATGTATGTATATATCTATACATCAATATATCCTTTGGGGACAGGGAGGAAGGGGGGAAAAGAACAAGAGAACAAAAGAAAACTTACAAGGAAGCAAAAAAGAAAAGACGGACAGCTCTCAACACAGTATGTAGTATTTATTATACAGCCTTTCTTGAAATGAAAATTTATTGCTGTATATTTCGAATCCTCTCTTAGGTTCTGCTGTTTTTTAATTTTGTGTTTAAGTTTCAATATTTAAGTTTATAATATGTTTCTTTTTCTTTTCTTATTGTGTATTTAAGTCTAAAATAAAAAGAAAAGAAAATGCCAATCCCAGTGCTATTTTCCCTTCGGAAGTATTAAATCATTTCTATTCCAGTGCCTGGCACATAGTAGGTGTTTAATACATGCTAAATGATTGATTCCTATTGAAAATATGTATTAAGTGTAACATTTTGGGGTGTTAAATTATAATTTATACTTTTAATTTTATATTCTTGTAGAATTTCTTGTTATTTTTATTAATGTGTTTTGACATTTCCTTAACCTCTCTCCCTTTATGTGGGAGAAGTAAGGTAGAGGATTCATAGTCCAGAGGAGCTGGAAGGCATCTCCTTCCCTGAAAGGTCCCCCAAGCCCTCCACCATGGACTTGGCAAGTGGTCAGGTGACTTCTGCTTGACAGTCTCCTAGGAGAAAGACAGCTTCTTCCTCTTTGGGACAACTCCAGTTCTTAGAAGGTTTTTCCAGATAAACCTAAGTTTCTCTAAATTCATAATGTCCCCCTTTGCTCTCAGTTTGCCCTCTGGGACTAAACAGGACAGATCTTACCCCTCTCTGTACCACAGTCCTGGAGAAGTTTAGCGCTGGACCTCACCTGCCCCGGGAGTCTTCTCCAGCTCACCAGGCCCACGTCCTTGAACTGATTCTCATACGTCAAGGACTTGAGACCCTTCCTCATTCTGGTTGCCTCCTTCTGGAAATTCTGCAGCCTATTCTGGGCACCCAAAACTCAATGCCCTCCTCCAGGTGCACTCTGACCAGGAGGAGTGCAGAGGGACCATTCCCTCTTTCTTCCTGGAAGTGTGGCTCCCTTATTGCTGCTGCCTCAGAGCTTATCAGAGCTTATCGGCTTGTCTGACTGGCCCATCACATGACTGACTCACAGCAAGCTTGTCGTTTAATGAAACCCAATATTTTTTCCGGACAAACTGCTTCCTAGCTCTGCCTCTCCTATTTTGTATTTGTGAAGTTGGTCATTTGAATCCAAGTGTAAAACTATATTTATTCTTACTAAATTTCTTTTTTTTTAAAGTTTTTTTAGGGTGAGGCAGTTGGGGGTAAGTCACGCAGCTAGTAAGTGTCAAGTGTCTGATGCCACATTGGAACTCAGGACCTCCTGACGCCAGGCCTGGTGCTCTACCCACTGCACCGCTCAGCTGCCCCAACCCCTGATCTCTTTTCCAGGCGGTCACTAGTCATCACTTTAATAATCCATTGTAGCATTTCCCAGGAATCTCAGTCAAGCTCACCTGCCTACAGTTTGATTTGATTGACTGGAGAGGGGCAAATGTCCCAATTATTGTGAAAGGGAAGGCCGTCCCATCTGCCCATTCTTTCAGACCCCACTGATGTTGTGCATCTGGGCCAAATGACTTTTGAATTCATGAGGAGCTGCTCACTACTTCTTCCCATCTCCTAACTTATTATGGGCATCAGCTCCTGGTCGATCATTTCAGTTCTGTCATTTCCTATTAGAGGACCTTCTCTTTGGCAGAGGAAAAAAAAAACAAATTAAGAGTTGAATGGCAATGCCATCTCCCTGTTGTCAGTTATTATCCCATACGTCCCAAGCATTGGGAATCCATTCTTAGAGCCTCTTCTTTCCTTCAGGTTCACTTCAAACTCCCATTTTTGGTTGAATTTAGCTTTCCTCGACATCTTCCACTCATTCTGAGCTTTATCATGTCTGACTGTTCTTGTGGTAATAAAAGTGCTCGTATATTCATCTTCACCCACACGTCCCATCAGTTGCTACATTTTCTTTTCTAAAAATTACTTTTATTTTCATGATCACATTTTCAACCTCCCCTTTCTTCTCTCCCCCCACCCAGCCCACTGAGAAAGCAAGAAAAACAACCGCTGTTACAGACGTGTACAGCGAGGCCCTGATTAATGCAGATATTGAGTCCCATGAAGCAGTTGCATGTATTCAAATTCACACTATTCAAAGTTATAATTAGGTAAATTTGATAATTGTTTTAGTCCAATAGAAATATGCCATGCATATTCAAATACTGTGACCATTTCAGGTGATTCATTATTCGCACTCATCAGAACAAATTCCCACCTTGGCCACGTCCCCCCCAAAGAGCCTCTGCACTTAGAAACCATCGGGAGGGAGGGTAGCATGGTTCCTCATTAGTCTTCTAGAATTGTGGTTGGTCATTGTGTATATACTGGAGCAGAGTACAAGCTCCCTGAGAGCAGGGCAGGGCCTGTTTCACTTTCATCTTGGTGTCCTCACCCCTAACACAAGGCCTGGTACATGCTAAATGCTTCTAACATGCTCAGTGCCTTACTGCTCCTGTTATCTGCCCTCGGTTCCATCTTTTCTATGTGTCTTTTCACATAGAAGTCAGTGCTGAGTTCCCTGGGCCTGATTGCCTTAGACAACTCCTGATTTTCCTTTCTCTTCCCATTGTCACCCTTTGTGCCTTCAGAACCTCATTCTTGGTTAACTGCGTTCCTTCCTCCAGACTCTGCCCCTAGAGTGGGCCAGCTCTTGGGGGGGGGGTGTCAGACTCGGCCTCGTTTTCTCATCCTCCATCACGAGAGCTGGGAGGAGGTGACTCCTATCTTCCCTCCCCACCAGGGTTCCCATCATTCCCATGCAGCAACCAGGGCTCACCTGTTAGCCAGAATCAGACCCGGCAAGGAATTTCTTCCATTGGTTCTGCCACTTTTGAAAGGCAAAATGATCTTTAATGCAGATCTTGAAGTTCTGAGCTGCTGCTATTTTGGGGGGTGGGGTGGGGAGGGGGAGACAGAGAAAGAAGAAAGAGAGAGAGGAGGAGGGAGGACAGAAAAAGAAAGGGAAGGAAGAGAGAGGAAGAGAGAAAGAGAAAGGGAGAGAAGGAAGGGAGAAGGAGGGAGGAAAGAAGAGACAGAGAAGAGAGACAGAAAAAGAAAGAGAATGAAAGTGGAAGAAGGGAGAGGGAGGAAAGGAGAGAGTGAGAGGAGAGAGAGAGAGAGAGAGAGAGAGGGAGAGAAAGAGAGAGGAGAGTGAGAGAGAGAGAGAGAGAGAGAGAGAGAGAGAGAGAGAGAGAGAGAGAGAGAGAGAGAGAGGAGTCTGGATACTTGGGCTTCTTCGCCATTGCTGTGTGATGCCTGTACCTGTGGTGCCAGGCTGGTGATCTGTTTCCTAAGCTCCTTCTCTATTCGGTCTCTGTGTCCAGGGCACTCTCTGGGATGCCCCCATCATCTGGCTTTCTGCTGGCTTCTCGCCCCCCACCACCTCAGTGCCACTGATGGTTCCTGTCACTGTATTTCAAGCCCCAAAGTCCTGTCACTGAGTTGCTGTGGGAAACTCTGGCCTAGTCCAGCTCTCTTTTTACTGAGGAGAGAAACTGAGGCTCAGAGAAGGGAAAGCCTTGGAGATCTTCATCCTGTTGACGATTAACATTGCCCATGTCCCCTCCCACAGAATAACCAGTTGGAGAAAATCTACCCTGATGAGCTTTCACGACTCCACAGGCTAGAGACCCTCAACCTTCAGAATAACCGGCTGACGTCCCGAGGTGAGCAGGCCCCCGGCAGGGAGAGGGTGAGGCAGACCTCCAGGAAGTGTGGGATGCGGAGCATTGAAGGGATCAGGGGGTGAGCCTTGGTTGTCGGGGAGGCCCCTACCTGTGGCTAGCCCTGGGTGTTTGGGAGTGTCTACACCAGTCCAGGGCAAGGGAGGGCTGGTCTTCCAGGGTTGGGAGGATAGTGGGGAGGTAGGCACTCAGCAGGTATGACAATGAAATCTCCTTTGGAGATTCCTAATGTGCTTCTTCTCCCTCCAGCCCTGAGAAGGAGAAAGGAACAGGTAGAATCCCAGAGTGTCCGAATGAGAGGCCCCTCGGAATCTCCAGTGTTCATCCAAGCTGGGCTGGAATCTCTCTAGTGACGGGGAGCTACTGCCTCCCAGGGCAGGCCCTCTCACTCTTAGTTCTCACGCTGACCTGAACTCTGTCTCCCTCTTCTCCCTCACTCCACACCTCCTTTTTCCCAAGCGAAACGTGCCAGGCCACATATGACACAGACTCTTAATTTGTCAATGGCTTTCCTCAAATGGGATGCCCAGAACTGAGCCCAGGACTCCAGGATGGAGGCTGGCCAGGGCACAGGACGGTGGAACCATTACCTTCCTATTCTTGGACGTTGGCCCTTTCTCAATGAGTCGTCTTGACTGCCGCATCATACTCGAGATTCGTATTGAGCTGGCAGCCCACTCAGACCCCCAGATCTTCTTCTAACCACAGTCTGGCCAGGTCGCTGCTCTCTGTGAAGTAGATTTTTTTGAGCCTTGGTGGAACCTTTTACCTTTATCCCTATTGAATTGGTTTCTGCCCTCTTCAGGTGCCACCTCCAACTCAGCTTAAGGCCAGGATGCTCCCAAAGGCAGTGATTCATCATGGTTACTGCCCTCCTCTCCCCCATCCCTCCAATCATTCATACAGAACAAGCTCCAAGGGAACCAGGGCAGGTCTCCTTGTTCCCATTTTACAGATGAGAAAATTGAGGCCCAGGTTGGGGAAGGGACTTGCCTAAAGTCACACAGTGAATTAGTGCCCTTCTACCCCTCCCTTTCCTTGCTGTCCTGCTTTAGCTATTTAAAGAGCTGAGAAGGCCACCAAAGAGGGAATTCCTTTAAGTTCAGGGTTCACAGAGACTGTCTGGTGCAGTTTAGAGGATCCAGGAGTCAGGGGATCCTGACCCCCCCCATGACCTTGGACAAGTCACTTCTGTCGAGGCCAGACAATCCGTAATGACTAAACCCCAGCTGAGTTCTTTCCTTTTAGGCCTGAAGCGAGGTGTCTCACTCCCAGGAATGCTGCCTGGAGCACAGGGGAGCAGGGGAGGATGAGGATTGTCCCAATGAATTATCACAGCCTCCCTGGGAGGGAGACAAGGCAGAGAGCTTTTTCAGCCCAGAGAGTCCTGATAACTGGCCTACTCTGAGACACACAACAAGTCAGTGGCCAAGCTGGGATTCGAACCCGTGTCTCTTAACTCCCAGCACAGTGCTTTTTGCATTAACTCATGGCTGTTTCCCCAGTATTTGATAAGAAACTTAAAAAATAAATCAGCCACAGAGACCCTGAACCTGTATAGTTATTCTGGTCACTAGCTGCAGGTAGGGTGGTCAAGTAGAAAGAATGCTGGAATTGGATTCAAGAGACCTGGGTTTGAATCCTCCCTGCCTCAGTATCTGCTAGCTGTGTGACTCTGGGCAGATCCTTTCACCTCTATGGGCCTGTTTTCTCATCTGTAAAATGGGTAGAATAATATTTGCAGTCTCTTACCTCAGAGGAGCATTGTAGACAAAAGATTCTGGAAATGCTTCAAGAACTTTAGGAATGTGAGTTGTTATTATATACAAGTTGTCAGAAAGAAGCTCAACAGGGCTTGGGGAGCAAAGGATGGGGTGATGGGATGGGGGGCTGTGTGCTAGACTAGAGGGCTCCCTGGGAACCTTCTGTGCTCTGGGGCTAAGGAAGCAGCTGAGGAGTCACGGGGATCCAGGACGTTTAGGGGCAGTCAGATGGAGAGAGCAGAGCTAACATGCCATCGATCAGACTGGCCTCATATGTTGTAGAAAGTGGAGACAGTGGAGGCAGAGAGGCCAGGGGAACTTCTCTCGGGTGGGGTTGGGAACTTTGAGTCCTAGCCTTGTCCTGTGTGTAGGGCTTTCCCTCAGTATCCTTGGGGATACTCAGGGGATCTGGGACTTATCCACGGTCATAGCCAGTGACTTAATGGCTGAGCCAGGGTACCTAGCTAGCTAGAGCGTTTATTATGTGCTTACAGTGCTCGAGGCACTGGGCTAAATGATGGTGATGGAAACGTAAGAAGCAAGGCAGTCCTTGCTCTGAAGGAGCTTACGTTATTAAAAGTACTTAATTAACAAGAATTAACAAGAATTTATTTCTCTCCCTTCCTTTTCCTCTTTTCACTAGAAAAAAAGATAAGCAAAACCTTTGAAACAAATATTTCTAGTTGAGAAAAACAAATCCCCACATTGCCCATGTCCAGGGATGTAGCAATCTTAAGTCTGTCGGCTCTCTCTGCATCTTATATCATTACCCTGGTCTTCGAGGTTAGTCATTGTGTTAATCAGAGCTCTCAGGTCTTTCAAAGTTGTGCTTTTATTACAATGTTGTTGTTATAGTATAAATTGTTTTCCTGGTTCTGCTCATCTCACTCTGTACCAGTTCACACAAGTCTTCTCAAGTTTCTCTGAAACCATCATTCTCTAATTGATGGGCACCCCCTCAGGTCCAGGTCTTTGCCACTTCAAAAAGGAGCTTCTATAGATACTTTTGTACGTATAGGTGCTTTTCCTCTTTTTGGGGGGGTATGGGCCTAGTAGTGGGATTGATGGGCAAAGGGAGTTCCAAGTTGCTTTCTAGAATGGCTGGGCCAGTTCACAGGGAGCTTAGATTCTAATGAGGAAAAATACATAAGGGGGGACTGGAGAAGGTGGGTGGGTAGGGATGGTGGCCAGAGAGCAGGAATCATGGGGTGGAGATGGCCTGAAAGTAAGCTGGAAGCTTGGACCAGGGCACGATAATGGGAAAACTCACCTGTTGGAGGCTAGGGTGGTTCCTGGGATGGAGTCCAAGTTTCAGGTGGGAATATTAGGTAGAGTGGAGGTGCCATGGTTCAGAGATGGTTTGACAGTGATTTGAACCCAGATCTTGTGACCTCCAGACCAGAACTCTTACCAGGCTGCCTGTGGCTCTGATCCTTGTAACTCTAAGAGCTGCTGAGACTGGAAAAATAGCAGGAGGTAACGATGCTGGACAGCTTGAGTGGGACCACATAGTGCAGGACCCTGAATGCCAGGCTAAGACCCCAGGGGGCGTTGCGCTTAGCTCTCTAGCCCTGAGCATTCTCCTCTGTCCAAGGTACTGACCTGCCTTCATCCTTTCATTTGAAGGGCTCCCAGAGGAAGCCTTTAAGCAGCTGACAAACCTGAATTACCTGTATCTGGCTAACAATAAGGTAGGCTGGGGTGTGTGATCTGGGTGGGGGGAGGCAGAGGGGTAAAGATACCTGGCTCAGGCAGATTCTTAGAGTGCCTGATTTCCTTCCAGGCCACAAAGCTCGGAGAGGGGGTAGTGCATGGCCAAGAGCTCCTCCCTGAGCAGACAGAAGAAAGGCTGGTACTTGGCTGTCGACAGGCCCGAGTTAGAATCTAGCACTTCATTAACCACAAAATTTTGTGGGGGCTGCTGGGGTCCAGAGGCTGCCTGGAGCTCACATTGTCCCAGCTGGTTGGAAAGAATAGTTTCTTCCCTCAAGGTTAAGGTTGGAAGAAGTGACCTCTGAGAACCTTTCAAATCTGAGTCTATTTTGGAGGGAATTCTGGGAAGGACCCTTACTAGGAGCATGACGGGCAGGAGCTTGCCTTCTGTCATTTTTTAGTAGAGGGGGTAGAAAAAGGAGCAATGGCCTAAGTCCCTGGGGGCCCTACCCCAAAGCTTGACAGTTTGAATGGATCTTCATGGAGAGTGTGTGTGTGCGGGGACAAGTCCTAGCCTCTCTCCGGGCCTCAGTTTCTTCCTCTATAAAGTGAGAAATAAAGTAGGCTCTAGGAGCTCCCAGGTCCCTTCTAGCTCTGCCAGACTCTACTCTGTGCTCCTTCCATATCTTGGGGGGAACCATCCCTCTGCACATTTCTGGTCTGGCACTGTCCCTGGAGTCTCTCCTTTGGCCTTTTGGGACCTCAGGGACATCAGTATAGCCTCCCTTCCTCTTGCTGAATCATAGTCCTTTCTTTTCCAGTCATACTTGCCTCCGAGGCCATCCGATCACACACTCATATGTGTGTGTGTGTATACATATATAAATATGTGTGTATGCATGTATAAACACATCCCATTAGACTGTGAGCTCTTTGAGGGCAGGGATGATTTTTTGCCTTTTATTGTATCCCCAGCCCTGGCACAGAACAGGTGGTAAGTAGATGCTTGGCGGTCAATTGATTGGGAATTCAGCTATGTAAAGTCGCTTGGTTTAGGCTAACACTAGAAGGGTTAGCCTAATGAAGGCTGGAGTCTCTAGAGGATGTTGCAAGGAGGAGGAAGGGCTTGGGGGCAGTGGGGACAATGAGCCTGGATGTGTGGGAGTGGTTTGGGGAGGATCTCGCTTCCCTAGAGCCTGTTACAAAACTCAAGGGCAGGGTCAAGGGTCATGAAGTTGTTTCATTGAGAAGTGAAGGCCAATCAATCCCTTCCTCAGAGGGGAAGCCAAGAACTTTCAAAGGAGTAGGCTTGGAAATCAATTCCTCCCTGTCCAGCCCTGGGAAGGCATTTCAGAGCCAGCTGGCATCCACGTCTGTCCCTGGTGCCAAGCAGGAAGTAATCCAGCCAGCGGGACTGGGGGAAGGCTCGGTGCCGCCGTTGGCCTGTCTGTCTTCTCATCCATCTAGCTATCTGTCCATTCATCTACATGTCCACTTGTCCACTGCTTGTTTGCCTTTCTATTTGCTCATGCGCTGGTTTGCGTGTCCCTTAGACACTGCCATCTGTCCATCCATCATCACTCATCTCCATCTCCATCTGATCTTCTCCCCACCCCCACCCCAATCCTGCCCCCTTTCCAGCTAACTCTGGCTCCAAGGTTCCTGCCGAGTGCCCTGGTCAGTGCTGACTTCGCTGCCAACTTCCTTACCAAGATCTACGGGCTCACCTTCGGCCAGAAGCCAAATTTGAGGTCAGAGGTCAGAGTGGAGCAGGGTCGTGGCAGCGATGGTGGGTGCAGTGGGTTGATTGGATTGGTGAGCACCTTATGTATGGCATGATGGGGTGGGGGTGGGGGAAGGATGTAGCTCAGAGGAGTCCCGGGCTGGATCCACCTCCATTTGATGGGAGTGTGTGGCTTAGCATGGCCTCTGGCACTCAGTAAGTGCTTAGTAATGCTCATTGAGTGAGTGACTGACTGACCAACCACTTTTTCAACCTGGTGAGTCAGGGGAGGGAGAAAGGGAAGGGGGTGTAGTATGCTAGTTGGTTTTCTTCCCTTGGGAAAATATGAGACAGGAAGAGAGCCAACATGAAAGTTAGGAGAGTTAAATTAACTCTCTCCCCTGCCCCACTGTGTGACCCTGGACCCATCACCTCCCCTTTCTGTGCCTCAGTTTCACATCCTCGTAAGATCTTAGATTTAGAGCTGAAAGGGGCCCCTGAAAGGGGACAGAATGCTGATTTCCTGATGGGTGCTCTTTACCAATCCATTGCTATTGCCTCTTCCAAGATGGTGGGTTGGGGGAGATGCTGGCTGTCCTTAGGAGGGGAGCCGAGTCTCCCAGAGGCCAGTGCTGAGCAGGGGTTCTTTGGGGGTCGGACCCCTGCTGCCCTTCTTCCTCCCTCTGGGAAAGCACAAGCAGAACATGCCGTCCTTAACACGAGTATGCCAAATACCTATTGGCTGATTGCTGCTCCCTCCCAGACCCCTGGCCTGTCCCTGCTCGGTATCAGGGGGTAAAGAGCCCTGGAGGACTTGGGTTCTAATTCTTACTATTAGCTCGGGCTTTGGACACATCCCTTTCCTTCCTCTGCTCCAGGCCTCCCTGGGAATGATCTCCAATAATTCCCATGCCTGCCCTCAAGACGCCCTGGTGCTGCTGCAAGGGGGCCAGTTCTGAGGAGGCAGTGACTTGTCCAAAGTCACACAGACAGTCAGTTTCCGAGCCAGGATTTAAACCCAGGCCTCTTTCTCCTGTTCCAGCCTCAGCTCCCTGGTGCCAGGTCACTGTGACACTGGGAATTTCTTCTCTCAGTGACTCCCACTTTTCTCCCTCTCCTGACACTTCCCATGGGGAGGGGAGGCTGGGCTTGAGGATGGGAGGAGCTGACCCTGTGGAATTTCCTGTACCTCCTTCATATCCCAGCTCACAAAGCTGATCCTGGGGCACCTGGCGGGGCCCAGAGGCAGAAGGGGATCAGCCTGTCTGCAGATGGGACCGTCTGTGTGCAGAGCAAAGCTTCTGGGATTCTGGGCTTAACGACCAAGAATGTGAATTAACCCCCCCCCAAAACCCCGGCCCTTCTTATATTGACAGGTAGTCCCAGAACATAGACCTGAAGCAGGGGCCCAAATCCCCAGGTCCCCTTCAATGAATTCAAAAGCCAGGGAGACTGGCTTATTAGCTTGACGACTTTTGCACTCAATAAAAACACTTTGGTTTTTTAAAGGCATTTCCTAAATCATTTTGACTGTTCATATTCAGTTTTGGAAGAAGGCCTCTCTCTGTACATATCTGTTTCTGTCTGTGTCTCTGTGTGTGTGTCTCTTACACACTCAGATTCTCACCCACTCACCCTCACACTCAGCCAATTGCACAGCCTTACTACCCATCAACATTGTCCTTTGTGCTCACATCCTGACACTTGTTCACTCACACTCAAATTCACTTGCAGTCAGACATACGTTTGGCCTCACACACACTTATACACACATGCACACATGCACGTACATGCAGTCACCCTGCCCTAAACCTAAAGTGATAAACCAGCTGCAATCGCCCCACATAGATTTGTTCTCCAGCAGCGTCTGTGCCCAGCCATCAGTGTGGCACAGCAGGGAGAATCCTGAGCTGGGAGTCAGACGGCCTGGGTCTTAGAAAAGCCACCACTCTCTTCTGGGCCTCAGTTTCTCCATCTGTAAAACAAGGGAAATGGCCCCTTCCAGCTATAATACTTAGTGATCTTACTCGTTTTCTGTTCAGCGTAACCTCTGGGTAACAGAGAATTGTAGAGCAACACGGCTTGGCACTTCAGGCCAAGACTAGGTCTATTGCCCAAGGACAATATTTGTAAAGTGCTTGGTATCTAGCAGGCACTTAATAAATGCTTGTTCCTTGCACCCATCCCTCCCCCAAGGATCATTTAAGCCTAGCTAAGTACGGAGAAGCTTATGTCTGGAAGCTGAGAGGGTGGCATCAGTGCTGGGGGACAGAGAGAAGAGGAGAGGGGAGGAGCACCCCACCCTACCCTGAAGGGACCCCAGCTCTCATAGATGCCCATACACTTGTGCCTGCACACACCCATGTACATGTTTTATATGTGTATATGGATTTTGTGGATGTGAGTGTCAATGAACTTGACTTCTCCCTATGGCAATGCTTCGGGGTTCTGGGCTTTCAGTAGGGTGGAGATTCCCTCCTACCCAAAGAAGGAAGAATGATGGAACTCAGAGATGACAGGGACCTGGGGGCATCTCCTCCTGTCTTAACTGAGCAGGAATTCCCAACGTCCAACCCTGACGAGTGGGTGTCACCCTCCAGGACAGGGGAACCTTCTCCTCCCCTTCCCTGCAGCCCAGCCCATTAGGAGCACCTCTGACTGACTGGGAAAAGTGTTAACCCAACATCTCTTTCACATATGTGGCATTGAGCCCCCACACACACCTTCCCTCCTTTTCCCTCCACACAATAGTCTTTAGACATTCATTCATTCAATGTAGTCAGTCCTTTCATGCATTCATTCACACATACAACCCTTTGGTTACCAAGGACTGTGAATCCAAGTCTGTTTTCATTTATACTATGGGGGAGAAAGGGAAAGGAGGAGACATGGTCCCCACCCTTGATGACCTCCCAGTTGCCCCAAATGAGCAGATTGATGCAAGATGGTAGAGAGCCCTAAGGCCTAGAGGAGGGCTGGCCTGCTGGGAAGGGAAAGAGGAGGAGGGCTGGGATTTTTAAAGATGTGTTATTGTGTGGGAGGGCCATGGGTGGGCTGGGAATAAACTCTGTGTGTGGGGGGGGTTGGAGCTGTAGGCTAGACCCTCCCTCAGTGCAGCACAGTCCCTTGATCCCCCAGGTCTGTCTACCTTCACAATAACAAGCTGGCCGATGCCGGACTCCCAGACAACATGTTCAACGGCTCCCACAATGTGGAGGTCCTCATCATGTCTAGCAACTTCCTCAAGTATGTGCCCAAGAACCTGCCCCGGGCCTTGTACAAGCTGCACCTGAAGGTAAGGGAGACTGGGAGTGGCCTGGCCCTGGGGAGAGGGTTGCACCTGCTTACTGTGAAGGGAAAATGGTGGCAGAGAGCTCCGGGAGGCCTTCCTGGAGGAGATGGTGTCAGGAGCCTTCTGGGGGATACGAGAGGAGGAGCAAGTTAGAGAGGGGGAGCTCTCTGGAATGGCCTCAGCTTTTTAGTGAAATATGAGACAAAGTTCTCATCTGAGAGAGTGGGAGAAGAGGAGCCCTGGGAGGCTTGAGGGGAGATGGAAAGGTTTGGAAGAGTTGCTATTGTGAGTGGGATGATGAGTTAATTAGGGAGATGTAAAAGGATTAGGTGGATACAGGCCTAGTTAATTAAGGAGCCTTGTGGGCCATCAGCAGCTTCATGATTTTCCACCTTCATTTAGCAGCATGTGAACAGTAACGGCAGTAGATGGTAGGAGTGACCCAAGGCTGAGGCTCGGCAAGGCGAGATTAGTGAGACTACAAAGAAGAGGACAGTGTCCACTGGGACTGGTTCCCCAAGGGTTCAAAAGGAGATGGATAAAGGAGAGGAGAGTAAGCCAGTACAGGTCTGATGGCCTGGGAAAGACCTGGGGTAAGGAGGTCAAAGGATTGGAGCCCATGGTGTGGATGGAGAGCAGGGCCTAGGATTGCAGGGCAGAGGAAGAGTGCAATGACAACAGATTGCAGAGTTCATGGACATGGAGGTGGTGCCTTTGTGAGTGATGGTAAGATCTGGAGCATGGTGCATGTGTGCATTGCTGATGTAGGATGAGGAGGGGGTCATGGGAAATGAGCAGGCTGAGGAACTGTGAGGTTAAAGTGATTGAGGGGCTGCCACTATCTGGACTGAAGGCCCCCAGGATGAGCTAGCAGGAGCAGGGGATGAGAGAAGGGCTGTGAGCCAAGCACTGAACTCATTGAGGAAGGAAGGGCAGTGTCCTAGAGGTCTGGAGACAAGAGCCATCGGAATCTGGATTGGGTGGTCAATGTGGGTGGAGTGACCCTCGAAGGAGGAGAGATTACTGAGGGATGGAGGGAGAGGGTGAGCTTGGAAATGGCTGTGAGGAGTGGCCCCATCCTCATCCTGTGCGTGGGGGAGGGAGGAATGAGAGACGGGGCAGCCAGTGCTGGAAATGGAGGCCAGGAGGCTGCATCATCAGGAAGGAGTCAGGTTTCAGTGAAACCAGAAGATGAAAAGATCAAGAAAGGAAAAGGTTTAAGATGAAGGGAAGTTTGTTATCATGAAGCAGGCAGCTAGGTGGCTGAAAGCCTGGCCCTCCTGCCTCTTTCCTCCCCTTGGGACCCCCGCCCCCTCCCCAAGGCTTCCCTCCTCTCCTGCCTTGCTATGGTCTCCAAGGCTCCTGGGGCTCTGGAAGTCCCCTAGAACCAACCCTTCCCTTCATGCTGCCTTCCTACCCTCTCTCCTCCTCAGAATAACAAGTTGGAGAAGATCCCACCAGGAGCCTTCAGCGAGCTCACCAGCCTTCGGGAGCTCTACCTACAGAATAATTACCTGACCAATGAAGGCATGGACAATGAGACCTTCTGGTGAGCCTCCTCCTCCAGTCACAGGGGCAGAGCTTTAGAACTGGGAGGGACCTTAGGAGCCCTGGTAGCCAACCTCTGCTTTCACAGATGAGGAAACTGAGGCCTAGAGATGGGAAGGGATTTCCCCAGAGTCGGATGGGTAGTAAGTGGCTGAGCTGTGATTTGAACCCAGGTTTTTCTAGCTTTTGAGTTCAGCTTTCTATCTACTATACCACGCTCAGGGTCCCATCCACCTCCAGCCCCAAGATTGGCCAGGCTTATTCTCTCGACCCCCCAAGCCTGGTGCTTTCTTTCCCTCCAGGCCTGATGAGCCCATTTCTTGGGAAAGCCCATTGTTAAGGAAAGAGACATGAGCTTGAAGACTGAAGAGTAGGGCTTTTGGGAAACTGCTGCCCCTCTCCAGGCTTTGGCCATTAGTGGTGGTGCACATTTCCATCACCCTCCGTGCTTTACAAATGAGGCTTCCCATCAAGTGAGCTAATGTCTGGGTAGCACTTGGCAAGGGTTACAGCCCTATGGTGATTGTTGTTTACCAAATGCTTCCTGCATAATCTCTGTGGGAGGTAGCTAGTGTAAATATTATTACCCCATTTTACAGAGGTCGAAACTGAGGCTCAGTGGTGGCATGACTTACCTGTGCTCACACAGCTCATAGATGTCTCTTCTAAGCCCCCGTTTGTCAGAGACTCTCACTTCCTTGGCCTGCCCTGAGTTCCTGAGTCACTGTAGGGCCAGGTGGATGTGAGCCAAGGGCAGGAGAGGCGTCTGCCAGGCCAGCTGACCAATCTGTCCCTGCTTGCCATCCTCAGATGTCAGGTCAGGTCTGACTCACAGAAACGTGGTGGTTTCCATCAGGATTGGCAAAAGAACAATTATTATACACCTTCTAAGTAGGGGAATCCAAAGACGAAAATAAAACAGTGTTTGCTGTCAAGGAACTTCCGTTCCACTGAGGGAGATGGCATTGTCCATGGATATGTGTATGCCAGACCCATAGAGAACAGCCGTGAGGAAACCCTGGAGAGGAAGGTTAGCAGCTGGGGGACCAGATGAGGCCTCCTGCAGAAAGGTGGTTTTTGAGCTGAGTTGTGAAGGAAAGCAGGGATTCTAAGAGGTGGAGATGAGGAGGGCAAACTTTCTGGGCATGGTGTGGAGATGGCAGATTGTGGGTCACAGGTGAGGTCCAGGGGAGAGCAGGAAGCACATTGGGTCAGTCTCTAGGTTGAGCTGCTGTCAGAGAGAGGGCAGAGCAGGTGGCATCAGCAGCCTGACTGAGGATGGGCTTGGCGAGAGGCTGCCTCTTATCCTGGTCTGGACAGCAGCCACCCTACATGCACTCCAGAACACCCCTTAGAGAGTCGAGAAGGGGCTCAGACCAAATAACTTGCTGTATCCAGAAGAAGCCATGGGGGTTAGTATTACAGCTCTGAGTCTGGGAACTCCCCTGAAACTGAAAGAAACATTTAAATATGAAAAACCCAACAAGGCAAATGGGCAGACTCAGGGTTGGGGAGAGAAAAGGTTTTTTGCTGGTCCAACCCCTCATTGTAGCTTTAGATTGGGTCAAGATATTGGTCTGGGAGTCAGGAGACCTCGGTTCTAATCTAGGCTCTATGAGCCTAGGCAAGGAATTTAATCTTTCTGAAACCCAATTCATCCACCTATGAAATGAGGAGAGTAATTTTGGCCCTCCATGCCTCCTAGAGCTCTTCTGAGGAAAGTGGTTTTTAAGCCTTAAGCTGCTGTAGGTGATAGTAATGAGAATGGGTCCCTGGCTAGTGCTAATGTTCTATGTTTTCTTATTCTTTCCTTGTATGATCTGGGAGAACCCTATAGAAAGCAGAACCCCAGCACATAGGGAGCTATGGTCCAGCTGGGAACACAGGTCTTTCCCCAAGGTGCTATTTAGAGCCTATCCACCAAGTCTTGGAGTCAGGCATGAGCCGTGTGATATAAACTCAGCACTTGGAGTGTGGATTCAAGGCCTGGCTCTCCTACGCCACGTGTGATCCTGGGCAACATTTCCTCATTTATAAAATGGAAACCATGGTCTAATTCTCAGACAATTGTACACGACACGGGGTTGGAAGAATGTGAGCTGTTGTGATGATGATGCTGGCAGAAAGGGAGAAATCTGCCACCTCTAGCCTCCTGCCCCCTGCCTCAGCTGGAGGGAGTGTGGTCAGGGCCGGTTCTCTGAAGGCCTGGGGCAGGCGCCAAATCCCTGGCCTGCTGCTGACCTCTGGGTCTTGTGTTGGAGAGCTGGGGCCAGGGCCTGTCAGGCCATGCTGGGGCTCCCAGCCAGAAGACTCCCAGACGTTTCCAGTAACTCCCCTGTCCTCAGAGAAGTTGGCTGCAGACGGGGTTAGGCTTCTCGAACTCGGGAGAATTCTGGACTCTGTTGGCCCCTGGGGTGAGGAGGGGAGGAGAAGGCACGTGGACTGAACACAGTCTTTTCAGAAGAAAGTGGGATGAGGCAGAAGATAGGGGCAGTGAAGAGGGAATTGAGAGGTGGAGTGGCAGAGCAGAGGGAGATGCGAGGGGGTCCTTGGAAGGCCTGGGATTGAGGCCCGTCTCTGACACTTCCTGGCTGTGGGACTGAGGGCATGTCAAGACACTGCTTGACTTTGATTCCTGTTCTGTAAAACAGGATGATAATGCTGAGACTGCTCCTGGCCTCCCGGAGTTTAGTTCAATGAACGTTAAAGGGGCAGAGATGGGAAATGGTCTGTGGAGTTTGGGGGGTAGCAAGTGGTCTTGTCTGGTAGTAATCTAGAACATGGGAAGGGAGCGATATGAAATAAGTGTGCAAAGTTAGGCCGGCACCATAGGGTGGGTGGCTTTAAATGCCAGGCCAAGGAGGTGATATTTTAACCCAGAGGCAGCAGGGAGCTAGTCAGGAGTTTTGAGCTGGGGAGTGACATGGCCAAGCCTGGACCTTAGGCATATCTCTTTGACAGCTGTGCTGAAGGTGAATAGGACAGGGGAGAGACTGGAGGCAGGAAGGCCAGTTAAGACCAGATATTACAATAGCCTAGGGGTGAGATGAGAAGAGCCTGAGATGGGGTGGGGGCCTGAGTGAGTAGAGACAGGGAGGGAATGATTGAGAGAAGTCATGGAAGTGAATGGACAAAACTTGGCTAGACCAGAGAAGAGAGAGTCAGTGAAGGGGATATGTCCTTTTTGGCTTGCCTTGAGGGAGAGAAAGAAGACCGAGATTGTTTAGGGTTTGTGAATCCTGGAAAGATAGTGACATCCTACAGAGAAGCAGGAGAGTTGGAATAACAGGAGCATTTGGCGGATTTGGTGGGGCCCAGAATGAATTCGTTCTGGCACATTCTAGCATGTGGGATTGGAGCTGTCCAGCAGGCGGCTGGTGAGTCTGGGCTTCAGCTCAGGACAGAGGCTGGGGCTGGATGTAAAAACTCGGGGTCGTCTGTGCAGAGATTTTGAGATGACAAGCCTGAGGCCTTACTTAAGTGGTTAACCCTGGCCACAGAAGTGTAAGGATAAGGTTAATCACTGAGCTTGTGATTTCACTGATACAGAGAACTCCCAGGTGAGGAGAGTTTCTTTACCAATGCAGGTCACACCCTCTCTGCAATGTAGAGAGTTACCAAGAGCATTGAGAGAGGAAGGACTTGAACCCAGACTTTCCTGGCTCTAAGGCCAGCTTTTTATCTGTAGAGCTAATGCTGCTGATGTATAAGCGCTGGCTCGAATTTGGGTCTCGGCCCAGAGGTGTTTCAGTCTTACCTTCCCCTCTTTCTTCAGGAAGCTTTCCAGCCTGGAGTACCTCGACTTGTCCAGCAACAACTTGTCTGAGATCCCTGCAGGGCTGCCGCGTAACATTGTGCTTCTGCACCTGGAGAAGAACGCCATCCGGACGGTGGGTCCCGATGTACTGACCCAGATCCGCAATCTGGAGTACCTGCTGCTTCACAGCAACAAGCTTAAGGCCAAAGGAATCCACCCACTGGCCTTCCAGGGCCTGAAGAAACTTCATACCGTGCACCTGTACAACAACGTGCTGGAGCGCGTGCCCAGCGGGCTCCCCCGCCGGGTCAAGACCCTCATGATCCTACACAACCAGATCTCCGGGATCGCCCGCAACGACTTTGCCACCACCTACTTCCTGGAGGACCTCAATCTCAGCTACAACAAGATCACGAGCCCCCAGATCCACCGGGAGGCATTCCGCAAGCTGCGGCTGCTCAAGTCGCTGGACTTGTCGGGAAACCTCCTGCAGACGCTGCCGCTGGGACTCCCCAAGAACGTGCAGGTGCTCAAGCTGAAGAGCAACTACCTGGAGGCCATGGCCCGTGGGGCCCTGGCCGGCATGGCCCAGCTGAGGGAGCTCTACCTCACCAACAACAGGCTGAAGAGCCGGGCAGTGACCCCGCGCACCTGGGCCGACCTCAGCAGCCTCCAGGTAGGGCCCGGCGCCAGCCGCCCTCCAGCGCCCCTGGCCTGGGCACCACCGAAGGGGAGGTGCTGGGGCTGCAGCTGGAGGGCTGGGCGGGGGCTTGTGCGTGCACAGGGTCTGGGGTGTTAGAGCTGGGAGGAGCCTGGGACATCGACTAGGCCGACCTGTCCTCTTCCAGGTGGGGAGACTGAGGCCCACAGGGATCTGTGTGACTTGTTCCAAGAGCACACAGATGATAACTGGCCAAACCTGGCCAAACTGGGATTGGGAGCCTTTGTGTTTTTTTCACAGCATTTACTGCTCGTTGCCCAGCTTGGCTGGCCCTGTTTATAACCTGGGATTTATTAGAATACACAAGGGGATGGGGGGGGGGTCTGGGCATGTCCCCCCATCTAGTACCCTGTAACCACTCACCTCTTTCACCTTCTGCCTCCTAACATGTATTTATCCTATAAAATCTAGCATACACACTCGTATCATGAAGAGGTCAGGTACATCAGGCACACAATGTGTACAGTTTTGTACAGACATGGGGATGGGGTCAGGGTTAGCAAACAGGAATCTCTGGGTTTAAGTTCTCCTTGTGATTCATACTAACTGTGAGCCTGGGCAAGTCACTTAACCTCAGTAGCTGAGGCAGCTCTCTGAGGATGTCAGTTAAAGAAGATCTGCTGACCTGTACTGGTGGAGGGAATCTGCATGTTGGTAGTTCTTTTCATGGATTAAATTATGGGCACAGACCCTCCTACCCTTACCACTGAAGAAGGAAAGAGACAGACAGATGAGTTCAAATCCTGCCTTGGACACTTATGAGATGTGTGACTACTCACAGCTACTAAGTATTCGTGTTGGGATTTGAACTCAGGTCTTCCTGACGCCAAGCCCCTAAAGCACCACCTGACTTCCTCATTTAGGACAGCAGTCCCCCCATTTGACAGTTCTTACAGAAAGTTGGGGTCCCTAGAAGGGTTCCTCCCCCATCTCATGGGATATGAACCAGGCCCTTCCTTCCTTCCTCCCTCCCTCCCTCCCTCCCTCCCTTCCTCCCTTCCTCCCTCCCTCCCTCCCTCCCTCCCTCCCTCCCTCCCTCCCTTCCTTCCTTCCTTCCTTCCTTCCTTCCTTCCTTCCTTCCTTCCTTCCTTCCTTCCTTCCTTCCTTCCTTCCTTCCTTCCTTCCTTCCTTCCTTCCTTCCTTCCTTCCTCTTCCATTGCTTCTGCTTCCTCCTGCTCAAGTGCAGGGGAGACTCCCTGTGTCCTTTAGAGCCCCTCCTTCTCACTCTGGTTCTGTGGTTCTGCTGTCCTTGGTTTCCCCTTGGCCCCGCCCTGTACTGATGCTGGGGATACAAAGAAAAGGCAAAAACATGGCCTGTGCCCTCGAGGAGTGGGCATTGGGCAGCCCGAGGGGGAGACAACAGGTTAGTGACAAGAGAGATTCAGAGATGAAGAAGACCAATCCAGGGGGAAGGCGCCAGCAGTGGGGGCCCAAGAGAGGCCTCCCGCAGGAGGTGGGATCCCAGCTGGATCACATTGGAGTGAAACCAATTCATCCACCCAATAAACATCGAGGAAGGGCCCTTAGGGGCCGTTTGGTTCAATCTGATCGATTTTTTACAGGTGGGAAAAGGGAGGGAAATGCCCCCCAGATGGGCAGTCGAGCCTTGTCTCCAGGTCTCCTGTATTCAGGGCTCTTCCCACAGCCATATCTGCCCAGAGTTGGCCCCGTGTCCCTGAATGCTGCTGAGCCATCCTCTTCCCTTTGGCCAAGGGGGCGTGGGGGGGGGCAGGGGGAGGCAGAGGTACAGCTGCCTGGGGCCCCTCCTGGAGTACCCGGTGAAGATCGGGTGGCTGGAGGGATTCGTCTCCAGAACAGTCTCTGGGGTGCTTGCCAGACCAGCTGGGGGGGAGTTAGTAATGCAGCTGGTCCGAGCTTTTCCTTTCTCTCCTGATTTCTGCTCCGGGGGGTGTGGGGACAGGCGGGGCTGACCCTGAGTGCCGGGCTGCGGCCTCCTACCCACCTCCCCGGGCTGACCCTGAGCTACACGGAGGCGGGGCAGGGAGGAGCCTCCCACTGGAATCTAAGCTTCTTGAGGGCAGGGTGCCTGGTCTTCACTTTCATCTCTGCACCCCCAGTGCCTAGCACTGTGCTCTCACCCTAAATGTGCTTGTTGATTGGTCGGCGGACAACCTGGAGTGTGTCCAGTGTCCAGAGGAGGTGGCCAGGGCGGGGTCAGACTAGAAGACCTCGTCAGCATTGCACACTGGGAAGAACATCGGCTCTCGAGTTGAAGGACCTGACTTCAAATCTTGCCTCTGATACTGCCTATGTGGCCTTGGACAAGTCACCTCACTGCCCTGGGCCTCAGTTTCCTGCCCTGTAAAATGGAAGGATCGGAATATGAGCCCACATACTGCTTTACAACAGTCCTTTGAGAGAAGCAGTGGAAATGTTATCTCCATTTTACAGCTGACAAAACTAAGTCTGAGAGAGCTGAAATGCTCAAGGCCGTACACTGAGTGAGTCTCAGTGTCAGGATTTGAGTCCAGGTCTTTGCAGACCCCAGGTTCAGCACTCATTGGGCTACCAAACAGAGTCTCTTGGTGAAGTTAAGGGGGCGGTGTTAGAAAGAATTTACCTGGGTTTTAGCAAAGCATTTGACAAATTGTCTCCTGCTCCTCTGGTGGACAAGGCAGGGGGTCACAGGCTAGACCCCAAAGGGTCCTCTGGGGTTGTGCCCCAGGGCTCTGTGCTTGGCCCTGAGCTGCTGCCTGACATTATGAGGCAGAGGATGGGTGCCACTTACTGTCTGTGCAGCCTTGGACATGTTCCTTCCTGCTCTGTACCTTACTTTCCTTATGAAGGGGGGTGCAGTGGATTCAGTTTTCTCCAAGCTCGTGACCCGGTGACCCTATGATTCTCCAGAATGGAGTCAGGATTCAGATCAATTCATCAAGCATTAATTAAGCACCTACTATGTGCTAATACTGTTAGGTGCTGGGGTTGCCAATGCCAAAGAAATGAAGCCCCTCCTAAGGAAGCTTCTGTTCTCTTGGAGGGTAGCGCCACGTCCCTAGAGGTGCTCAGTAGCTACGTTTTGGTTGGTTGCAAAATAATTTGGGGGTGCTCAGAATTGGTGGGATCAGGCTGGCCTTCCCGTAGATTCTAGTGCTCGAACAAGCTTCTAAGGGACTGGGAGGCAGCGATGGGAGGAACACATCCCTGTCATGAGGGACAGTCTAGGCACAGACAGAGATGGGCGATGGACTACTGGCTAAGGGAAACGGCAAACGAGCCAGGTTGGCTAAACCAGCAAGCAGGCAAAGGAGAGTCACACACAACAAGTATGCAAGCTCTGGCTGGAGCCAGACTGTGCAGGGCAAGTTTGTATTCGATCCTATGGGCAGTAGGGAGCCTCTGGGTCTGCTTGAGCAGGGGAGCGACACGGTCAGACCTGGGCTTGAGGAACGCCATTTGGCCGCTGTGGAGAGAGCAAATCGGAACAGGGAGAGACCAGTGTCAGGGAGACGAGTCAGAGGCTTAGTTCAATTCAGTAGCTATTTTTGAAGTGTCGGCTGCGTGCCCAGCCCTGTGTTGGACGTGGGGGTCTGGACTTGTTTCTTTACTCATGACTTCCTCAGTGCCTGGAATCAGCTCTGCCCCCTCTAGCTTCCATCTCTCTGCTAAAGTCCTCTCCTTTTTTTTTTTCTTTTTAGTGAGGCAGTTTGGGGGTTAAGTGACTTGCCCAGAGTCATATGTAGTTCCCTCCTTTCAAGGCCTAACTTAGAAGACTCCTCATTCAGGAAGCCTTCCTGGACATGCTCTTTATTTTTCCAACTTTTTTTCATAGTAATTTGTCCTTGTTTTCATCGTGCTCACCCCTCATATGGGAGTTATATGAGTAGTTGTCTCCCCCCGCCCCATCTCATCAGTCAGATCAGTGGTGTAGTGAATAAAACTCTGGGCTTGGAGTCGGGAAGACTTGAGTGTTCAAATCCCAGCTCCGACACTGACTAACTGCTGGACCCTGGAGTGTCCTCATCTGTAAAAGAGATGGTTGGACCAGACAATTTTCTGACTCTAAATCCTCCAAATCTATAACCTTGTGATCATTGGAATGCCTTGCACCTAATTGGCAATCACTGAACCTTTGCTGAACTGAAGTGACTGAATGAAGGTCATGTAGACTCAGGTCTTCTGACTCCTAGTTGGACACTCCAGGCTTGGCTCTTACACTTGCAGCCATGTGATCTGGGGAAATGTCTGGGTGGCAGCTCCCTCCCTCTTCTGTAAAATGGGACAGTAAACTATATGCTGTCATGTAACACAGCATGCAGCCCTATCTCTTAAGGACTAATGTGGTGAATCAACCCGTGGGGCAGAGGAAGGGTGGGGGATCTGGAGGCCTGGAATGGTACTCCTGCTCCCACCCATTCTTGACTCTTCTCCAAATCTAGAGGAATTAAATTCCACTCCCTCTCCTCTTAACCCCTTCCTATCTATCTCCCCATCTCCCCACACCCTCTTCAGCTGCTCAACATGGCCGGGAACCAGCTCACAGAGATCCCAGAGGGGCTGCCCGAGTCCCTGGAGTACCTCTATCTGCAGAACAACAAGATTAGCACCGTGTCTGAAAATGCCTTTGAGTCGACCCCCAATCTCAAGGGGATCTTTCTCAGGTAGGAGGCTGGGCGGGGCCCCCAGGATCCAGGGCCAGGATATGCCTGAGGAAACTTGGGTTTCCTCTGAGTGCTTCTCCTTGTACCTATTCCCCAGCGACCCCCTCCCTGTCCCCCACATCCTAGGCTAGGTTCAAATCATTTAACACAGAACATTAGAATACAGAGTGGTGGAGTGGATAGGACCTTTAGAACATAAAATTAGAACATAAGATGTCAGAACTGGAAGAGGTTCTTGAACTCAGCTTCCTCATCTTACAGGGGAAGAAATGGAGGCTTTGTTTGCCCAGGGTGACATAATGGCTTAGCTTCAGAGCCAAGATTACAACCAACAAGTCTTTATTGAGTCCCTACTATACACCCAGTTATACACTTAGAATTGTGGGAGAAACAGAAAATGGAGCCTCAGCCTCCAAGGTACTGAAGGACCTTCAGGCTGTCAGTCTTGTTAGTTGGCTGGGTTTCTTGGGTCTTACCCCAGAACCTCAGAACTGGAAAGGAACCTCAGAAGTCCTCTTGTCCAATGCATGTCTGAGCAAGAATTCTCGCCTTGAACAGCTCCAGTGAGGGCTAGCCAGCCTCTCCTGGATAACCTTACTACTTAAGGAGGCAGCTCTTTTCGCTGCTGGACAGCTCAGTGCCAGGAAGTTCTCTCTATAGATTTGAAATCTAGCTCTCTGCAGCTTCTGCTCCTTGCTGCTGTTTCTGTTCTCTAAATGGCAGCCCTTTGGATATTTGAAGATAGCTATAATATCCTCTCCAAGACTTCTCTTCTCTAAGATAAATACTCTCATTTCATTCAGTTGACCCTCTTTGACATGGTCTTGAGACCCCTCACCATACTTGACACTCTCCCCTATCTGGGTTCTATCTGGTCAAGATCTTTTCTAAAATCTTATCTAGAATGGAATACAGTGCTCCATGTATGAACTTTTTCCTTTGAATTCTTTGAAATCTGTTCTCCCCAGATCTCAGGTGAGCATCAGACCACAGGAAACACTCTGGCTCCTGCCACTCTCATCATGCCTATCACAAAGATTCCTATTGTTTCTGTTTCCAGAACTCACAATCTCTTTCTTCCCTCTGGCTAGGTGGTCTGTAGCCTGCCCTTCCCACAATATTGTGTCAGTTTCTCTCTCCATTTATCTTCACCCAAGCGCTCTGTACCATCCTTCCTCATTCCAGATTTTGGATTTCTTCACATCATATATTTTCTTGATATACTGCTCCACCCCTTTTGTCCAATCTCTTTGTTTTAAATAAGAAATCTAATATCTTCATGCCTCTGCAGCTCAGTATACTGGAGGAGTTGTTCACCTGGGGTGAAGGAGGTCTGTGGACAGACTCCAGGTGAACTTGGATGGGAAAATGACATCTTTATTTCAATAGAATTGGTTTCATTTGTGAGCTTATGGCTTTTGTTTTGCGCATTTAAAAATAGCCTTCTGACAAGAGATCCTTACACAAAAAAAGAAAAGAGTCCTTGGTGGAGTAGATAGAGGGCCAGCCTTGGGGTCAGGTTCAGGGTCCACTTCTGACGCATACTGGCTGTATGACTATGGGCAGAGGAAGTTGGGGGCAGAGTGGCTAGGGTGCTGGACTTGGAATCAAGAAAACCGGGGTTCAAATCTTGCCTTGAACACTTACCAACTGTGTGACTCGGGGCAAGTCACTATGCCTCAGTTTCCCTGTCTGTTAAATGAGGGATCCTTTCCAGGTCTGATTCTAGGATGCTGTGATGCTTTAAGTTGCAAACAGTTCCCCCTTTACATCAACAGTTCATGTCAGAGCTCTCTGTCATTGAAGACCCACCAGAGCAGCCCTTTGCATTGCTACATTTTCATCCGTGTCACACCTGTGTGTGTCCTGAAGGCCAATCTTTGCATTCAGCATTGGCGACCTGTACATTTGTGGGCAGATGCTTCTGGCCATGAGTATTGGATGTTCTCTCCCTCTTGGACACCGTCTTCTCCAAGGGTGTCTTTCCTCCTTTGTCCTACTCCCTGTGGTCTCTGGCTTGGCAGACCTATGTGAGATGTTTCCTCCTTCTCCCTCTACATCCACTTTGGATCAGAGCCACAAGTCTCTTGGCAGATATAGTTTTGCTGGCCCTTCTTAGATGCCCAAGCTCCCTTGCCAAGAGCCTGTCATTCTTTGGCTGAAGCTCTGGTCCCAGAGTCCACATCCCAGTTTTAGGCACCTGAATTATAGCCTCTCAGCATGGGGAGGAAACTCAGTGGCAGCTAGTCTGACCTGTACTTGAAGAAGAATTTCTAGAACCACAAATCCAACTGATAGCCATCCAGCCTTTCCTTCAGGACCTTCAGTGAAGTGGCCCATCCCACACATGGGGCACTCTGACGCTGAGCCAAGTGTGACTTCCCTTTGCCTCTCCTCGTTCTAGCCTCTTGTGCTAAGCACATCCAAGTCAAGCCCTTTATCCGTGACAGTCTTTCAGGTGCTGAAAGAGAGGCATCGTGTTCCCTCAAGCTTCCAACATCCCCAGTTCCTTCATTTGATCTCTGTGTGGCAGGCTCTTGGGGCCCTTCATTATCCTGGCTACCATCTTCTGGAAGGTCTTTAGCTTATCAATCATCTTTCCTAAAATGTGGCACCCATAAGCGAAAAGAGTCCAAAAGTAGTCTGACCTTCTTATCCCCTCAATAGCTTTGGACACCATGCCTCTCTTACTAAATGCAGCCTGCGATTGCATTTGCCTTTATTTATTTTAGTATTATTATTATTTTTATTATTTTTTTGCTGCTTTATAACTCTTATGTTGAACTTGTGGTCCACCTAAACCCCCAGATCATTTTCAGATGAACTGCTGTCCAGCCAAATTTTATAGTTCTATATAAATATAAGATATACTTGTACACATATATATAATACTTGTAAAATGGATTTTTTAAACCCAATTAAACTTTTTTTTATAACCATATACTGATATATAATTATTATATATGGCTGGCACTGTGCTAAGCACTTTACAATTATTTTCTCATTTGATCCTCATAATAACCCTGGGAGGTAGGTGCTGTCATTATCCCCATCTTACAGTTGAGGAAACTGAGGCAGGCAGAGGTTCAGTGACTTGCCCAGGGTCATACCACTAGTAAGTATCTGAGGCTGGATTTGAACTCAGGGCTTCCTGACTCCAAGGTCAATACTCTCCTACCCCTCAAGACTTTGCATGTATTCCAATTGAATTCCATCTTCTTGGTCTGTACAGGTTTAACAAGCTGGCTGTGGGCACCGTGAGGGAAAGCACCTTCAAAAGGCTGATGCACCTGCAGGTGCTGGACATTGAGGGCAACTTTGAGCTCGGTGAAGGGTCCAAGAACCGTGGGCGCCCAGAAGAGGAGGAAGAGGAAGAGGAGGAGGAAGGCGAGGAAGAGGAGGAAGAAGATGAAGAGGAAATGAGATAGCCACATGAGCCGGACTAACCCAGGTAGGGCAGGGGCAGGTCCCAGCCAGGTGGACTCAGTAGGTGTGAAGGGTCATCCCAGACAGAGCCCCTCCCTGCCACCCCTTGGGCAGTGGGAGAAGATCCTTGTCCCCTTTGGGCACCTGCTTCTCTAATGCATCCCCCATCCTGGAATCCAACAGCCTCAAGCCTCTTCCTGCCATGGCCTGAGATCTAGGCCAGACTCTGCTGGAGTACTGCAGTGGGGGTCTGTCTTACTCTTAGTGAAAACCAGAGCTTGCGGCATGCAGTTCATTCACTTGGGAGGCTGGGGCATGGAGGAAGCCGTATCTGTGTGGGTTGGTCATGGTTGGGTGTTCCTTTATGAACGTGAAGGTGTGTGGCCGTGTGATGACGTACCTCATGGCACTGGAGGTGAGACCCTGGTCTTTGAAGGCCGATCCAAGAGAATCTGATGAGTCAGAGTCTGATGTATGTTATTTGTTTGAGGAGAGGAGACTCAAGGCCAGGTTACCTGCAAAATGTAATTTTAGATGACATCAGCTCTTAGGGGGGGTCTTTGAAGTCAGAGAAGGGCCATGAGAAGGGGATGGCTGGAAGTGTGAGCCCACCTGTCTGACAAGGCCTCACCTTGCTTTCTTCTTGTGTCTCCCACAGGACAGCAGATGGAAAGTGACGCCTCTCTGTGTCTGCGTAATTAAACCCCTGTGCTTCCTCCCACCCAGACACGCTGGCATAGCCCTACACAAACTACTTACCCACATAGTCAGCATCTCTCTGTCTGTCTGTCTGTCTCTGTCTCTGTCTGTCTCTGTCTCTGTTTCTCTCTCTGTCTCTATCTTTGTATTTCTGTTTCTCTGTCTGTCTGTCTCTCTGTCTCACACACACACACACACACACACACACACACACACACACACACACAATCATAGCCACATTTAAGCAGTCATCCCTCCACCCTACCCCAGGCCCCCAGCCACACCTGCAATCTCATGGATTGTCACAAATCAGCGCACAATCACCCACACAGACATACATTCAGCACTAGCTCCACATATGTAGAGAGCAATGTGGCTCCTTAATCCTGGGTGGGGAGAGCCTTCCTTTCCATTTCCAGACCCCAGTGGCAAAGGTCCAGGGTCTCTAAAACTCTCCACAAAAGCTGGCTTTTGTTTCTTCTCCCTGTGAACAGGAACCTCGTAGGAAGGTTCCTCACCATCTTCCTCCCTCTCCCCACCATCTTCCTCCCTCTCCCCACCATCTTCCTCCCTCTCCCCACCATCTTCCTCCCTCTCCCCACCATCTCCCTCCCTCTCCCCACCATCTTCCTTCCTCTCCCCACCATCTTCCTCCCTCTCCCCACCGTCTTCCTCCCTCTCCCCACCGTCTTCCTCCCTCTCCCCACCGTCTTCCTCCCTCTCCCCACCGTCTTCCTCCCTCTCGCCACCGTCTTCCTCCCTCTCCCGTCTTCCTCCCTCTCGCCACTGTCTTCCTCCCTCTCCCACCGTCTTCCTCCCTCTCCCCACCGTCTTCCTCCTCTCCCACCGTCTTCCTCCCTCTCCCCACCGTCTTCCTCCCTCTCCCCACCGTCTTCCTCCCTCTCCCCACCGTCTTCCTCCCTCTCCCCACCGTCTTCCTCCCTCTCCCCACCATCTTCCTCCCTCTCCCCACCATTTTCCTCCCTTTCCCCCCATCTTCCTCCCTCTCCCCACCACCTTCAAGGATCCCAGGCCAACCAGCTGTAGGCTGGTAACAACATTTTCATCCTTTATCTAACCTGCCTTCTCTCCAAAGTGATACATGTGCCCCTGAGCTCGAGGCTTCAGAGGATTTAGAGCTGGGTAGGCGAGACCCTGTGACTTGTCTGAGGTTGTACAATTGGAATTGGCCCAACTCTGATCCAGTGGTCCTTACACAGCCCAGGGCCATTTTTAGTGGCCACAAATTTCTCTAGCCCCTCAGGAAGACCTTGTCAGAGCTCTGCTGGGTCTTTGCCCAGTGGCTGAAGGTGTCTTGTGTTCCAGTGGGGGGTTAGGCTTGAAATTACACCTGCTTTATTGTGGGGTGGGGGGCTTGAGGTGGTGGCTGATGTGGGTACCTGGGGGAAATAGAAGCAGGCAGAGATTCCTCTCCCCAGCATGGTCAGTCCCAGCCCTTTGGAAAGTATTGTTTATTTCTGTCAGGTTTGGTGGTGGATTTCTTCATGTTTTGTTTTATTTTGTTTTTAAAGAAAGAAAAAATTCGTTTTTGTGCCTTGTTAAAGAAAAAATAATATAAAAAGCATATTCCTTTCCTTCTGGCCCTGGGTGCCTGCATGTGTGTGTATTTTTTTTCCCTTTCTTTCTGGGTTCCTGCGATCTTGGTCCCCTCTCCCTGGAATAATGGCTCTTGTACCAGGGCTGCTTTGACAGGCTGGAAGGTTGGATATTTAGCAAAATGCCTGGTATGCAGTAGGAGCTTAATAAATGCTTATTGCTTGACTGGGCCAAAACCCGGCAAGAAGAGAAAGAATGTTAGGTGCCTTCCACTTGGCTTCAGAAACTCCAGACTGAAAGAGATACAAGGTTGGGGAAGGGGTCAGAAAGTGGAGAAAAAGGTCTCTGGATTCTTGACTGAGCACAAATGTAGGATGAGTTAGCAGCAGGATATAGAAACACAAAGAGCCGGTGGGATTTAACAGCAGCCTGGAGTCCAGAGTGAGGGTTCTCCTACTCACCCGTGGACAGTGATGAGGGAGGGACAGAAGCCTGGGCACTGCCCTGCTGCTATTACCACCCATCTCTCTGCAGCCCAGTGGGTGTCTTCCTAGCACCGAGGGACGGATTCATGGTGTCCTAGAAGAGACCTTGCAACATGCAGCCTTGTGATACCAGTGCTTCAAGGCCCCTTAGCACACAGACTGTCAGAGCTAGACAGGGCCTTGGAGACCACCAGGTTCAGCCCTCTCCTTTCACAAATGAGGAAGCTGGGACTGCAGACCACACAGCCGGTAAGCCAGGAGAGGCATCACAAGCCTGGAGAGGGACAAATGCTCTGACTCTTTTAAAAGGGGTGTGTGCGGGCAGCTAGGTGGCACAGTGGATAGAGCACCGGCCCTGAAGTCAGGAGGACCTGCGTTCAAATCCGGCCTCAGACCAAATACTTGACACTTACTAGCTGTGTGACCCTGGGCACGTCACTTAACCCCAGTTGCCTAAAAGCAAAAAAAAAAAAAACAAAAAGGGTGTGTGTGTTTGTGTGTGTGTGTGTGTGTGTGTGTGTGTGTGTGTGTAGATAATAAAATCTGCAAACCATAGGCCAATAGGCTTGACTTCAATTCCCAGGAAAATTCTAGAATTCATTATTAAAGAGACAATGAACATCTAGAAAGGTTTTTGCAGTGATTACAAAGAGCTTCATCAAGAGCAGACCTCATGCCAAACCAACCTTATTTCCTTTTTTGACAGGGTTACATCGAGAGAACGAGGCAGATGTCATTTAACCACCAGGTGGTGCTGCTGGCCACTCACCTGATCCAAGTCCCAATAAGAATCAGGTTCTGGGAAATCTCACATTCACCTTGATGTCTATGTGCTCACCCAACACCAAAATAATCTGTAGGAAGGTGTTAAATCCTTTATCATCCTCAAAGAGCCAGCCACCTTTCCCCCTCCAGCTCCATCTCTTTCTAGTTGGTTTTGGGTATTTGTCTGATGGGTATGGTTAGGATTTATCCAATCAGATTAGCCCTAAACCCCATCCCGCTTGGAAAGCCAGACTCTCCCTGAAGCAGTTCTGTGTCACCGATGGCACCCCACACAGAAGCAAACATATGGGCCAATCTGTGTTAAACTGAGTCTTTTTTTAAACTCAGGAACAGAATCAATAAAAAAATCATAACTGGAAATAGATTTAAACTGCTATAATCCCTGTAACGTTTCCCAGGCCTAGGCAGTCTTGGATCAATTTATTATTGTTGATCTTTCATTCTCGAAGAAGACCACGCCATCAAAAGGATGATAGCCAGTTTAGAGATGTGCTACAAGCCCAGTCATTTAGGAACACGGTTTAATTGTTTGGTCTCACTTTTTGCTTTCCCTACCCTGACCTCTTTCCCCCAACATTGAGCCAAGGAAGCTCATACAATAAAACATTTCCAAATGCTGATTCACTCTTGGCTTCTAGAGGGTCATAGGAAGTTGAGGAAGTTGGTAGGGAAGAAGGCTCTAGTTGTTTTGCCCCATGAGCCTTTCTACTCACAATTCTGTCACAGTGAGGGACTCTAATCCTCGCCCCTGTTGTCTCCTAGCTCTCTCTGAACTGGCTGGGCTGCAGAGCACTTCAGTTTCTCTTCTTGGTGGAGCCTTGGAGTGTGGTCAAGGGCAGGCCAACCATGAAGCCTCAGATGTCATCTTACCTTCTCTATCCCTCTGACCTCGAACTTCCCTATCCTTCTGTGTTCCAATTCTGCCTGGCTGAGAACAACAGTACGTCACTGACCTTTCAGCATCTTCCAATCAGCCGATGAACTTGACCTCTTCCTCCTCCCCCACCCTAGCCCCTAGGGTCACAGCAAGAGTTACAGCTGCACATCTTGAAAACCATTAGCTAGAACCTCTCATGCTGCCCTTATGGAGAAGATGAAAGGATCAGGGCCAAATCCTCATCTAGATAGATAGAAGCCAGATTGGTTGGCTGGCCAGAGCTACGGAGCAGTTGCCAAAGATTGGAGGTCATCTTGGAAGGAGAGGACCACTGCCGAGCCCCAGGGATCTGGGCTGTTTGATATCTTTTTTTAATCAAAGGTTTGGATAAGCAAGGAGGGTTTGCTAATATATTCAATGACAGCATCAGAATCCAAAAAGATCTTGTCAAAATTGAGTTAAATTTTAAAAAGGCAAAATAAAATAGTTGCATAAATGCTTACAATTGGATGAAATAAAATCTGCTTCATAAGTAAAGGTGCTAGAAGCCTGGTTGGACAGCAGTTTGTAAAAAAATGGGGGGTCTTAGCAGGTCACAGAGAGCCAGGAGGCAACTGGGGAGAGGATTAGAGGTCATCCCCTGTGACAAGACTGTGAGTAGAAAGGTTCGTGGGGCAAAACAACTGGGGCCTTCTTCCCTGGCACAGCCCAAATGACCGTGACCCTGCGCAACTTGGAAGCCTGAATTCCTAATACAATCTTGGGCTACATCAAATGTGTGGAGGGGGTGGGGCATGGCTACCAGGATTGAGAAGGGGATAGTCCCTCTGTCCTCTGCCTTGGTCAGACCAGGACATATCTGGCTCAGCACTGCATTTGAGGAAGGACATTGGAAAGATTCTGTTGTTCAATCATGTCTGACTCTTCATGACTCCATTTGGGGTTTTCTTGGCAAAGCTATGGCAGTGGTTTGCCATTTCCTTCTCTAGCTCATTTTACAGATGAGGAAACTGAGGTAGACAGAGTGAAGTGACTTGCCCAGGGTCACACAGCTACTATGTGTCTGAGGGCAGATTTGAACTCGGGAAGATGAGTCTTCCTGTCTTAAGGCCTGGTGCTCCATGCTTTATGGCGCCAGCTAGCTGCCCATTGGAAAGCTGGTGGGCGTCTGAAAGAAAGCAGCCAGGTCTCAAGTGCATGCCCCAGGAGCATGGGTTGAAGGTGAAGTTTAGTGTGGAAAGAAGGCTCAGGTCGGGCACAGAGCTGCCTTTAAGTATCTGGTGAGTCACCGTGTGGGAGAGGGATTAGCTTTGTCCCATATCTGCTTGGCCGCAAAGGAAAGAGCTGGGAGCAACACATGCCAGGCACTATGAGGGGACCTAGTGGGAATCTGTTTCAGCTTGCTTCCTCCTTGTGTCTCTGCCTCACCTGTTAGGTTCACACTGTTTTACCTTTTCAGAGACTAGTTTTCTAGGATTAGCAACCATGCAGCATCTTGTGTCAGAGGGCAGCTCGTTGGCTTTATCATCGCTGAGCTCACAGCTGCCCTGTAGCTATTCCCTTCATTCTATGAGATTCTGGTCCTAGCTCACTGGCCCTTCTTTGGTGCCTGCCCACGGCTTACCTCTCATTGTGAGGTAACGGGCTGGTGCCCATTGGAGCAATGATGGATCTCATTGAAGAGGCTTTGTCATGGTCTGCGGTTCAACGTAGCACAATGTCACCCACAGAGGGGCATTTGGGGGACCTCAGCATCTGGAGGGCCTGTGGCCTCTTTCATCTGGGCCCCCGTGGGATGTTCTTCATCTCAGGGGGACCCCCTTCAGGGAGCCCTTGGCTAGCTGCTTCGGGCTTCCGTTGACCACAATCTTGGGGCTTGCATTTACTGAGGAATCCTTCATAGGACACCACCCCCCTTGGAGGAGCACCTTCAAGGGCGCACCTTTCTCTTCCAAGCCAAGTACTTTTGTCATCCCTCTACCCCTAAACAATAAACAGCACCACGATTCTCTGCAGCTTTTGCTCACTCATGTGGATTGTAAAGACGAGGCACAAATCTGGCCTCAGACACTTGAGACTTACTAGCTGTGTGACCCTGGGCAAGTCACTTCACCCCATTGCCTAGCCAAAAAAAAAAAAAGATAAGATATGGTGAAGCCTGTCCAATCCTCTCTCACGTCTCATCAGGGACATTCTCCATAGGAATATAGATCATTTTCAAAAAGATTTTACAAAGAGAAGGTAAGCAACTTTTCCCAGCTTAACATATGAAAAAAAGATATGACAAGTCTTCTCACAGTTAGGGCGCTCCTGCGATGGCATGGAGGCAGCAGGTTTCCTTCCCTGGTGGCGGTGCCATGGCCACAGGCCAGGGCAGACTTGGTGGCAGCTCACTCGGAGCAGAAGCTTGGGCCATGGTGGGGGGCCTTGGCCCTCAAGCTGCCTCACAGAGCAAGGGGGAGATTGAAAGAGACTGACCCATGGTACCTGCTGCTGGGAGAGAGGAGGAGGAGCCAGCCTTGGTGAGTCGAGGTTCTGCAGCAGAGCAGGGTTGAGATGCAGGCATGCCCCTACCAGAAGCCAGCCAGGGGAGCCTAGATGTGTCCATGCCCAGGCATCTCTGGTGCCCCACCTGCAACTGACACCTGTGACCTGAAAAGCTCTCAGCAAGGCACTATCATAACGGTGTCACCCTGCGGCCACCCAACGCTTTCTGTACAGGGCCCGTGACGGACAGTTTCTGCTGTCTGAGGACCAGCCCAGCTACGTCTGAAGACAGTCAACCCCAGGTTGGCTAAAGAGGGATGGAGTTTTGGGTTACAGCCTTTCTCTAAGGCTTTCTAGTAAGCCCTGGAGAAGTTGTGATTTGTGTCAGGGGACAGAGTACCCACCCTGAAGAAATCACAGTTGGTGAAGGATCAATGGATGTGGGAGAATGGACATGAGCAGACCTCCACTGACATGCCAGCACCTCCTGAGAGTTTCTCGCCATCATGAACAAGAGCGCTCAGCCAGCGGCTCTTCCATTGGTTGTACTCTGAGTAATTCACCAGAGCCCGGTCTGGTGGGGTTCGGAATTGACCCAGCACATGCCACACAATGGTTCTGAAAGGGATGGGGCATTTTAGTGGAACTACAGATCAACCTGGGTGAGCAGTGGGGTGTGAATACCTCAACCTCCTGTAAAATGACAAAGTTGAATTTTAAAAATCCTTTCCATCATTTTCTTAAGTCTGACAATCAACAATACAAGAAACGCCTCTCCCTCATGTAAAGCATCTGCAGATTTCTAAGGCGTAAAAGCGCATACCAAAAGTTTAACAATGGGCTCTCCAACCAGTTCAGCTGTCACCAGGCCCCACCCCTCATATAGTAGGTGCTTCATAAATGCTTATGGACTGCTCTCTACTCACCAGTCAGGCTGCTGCTGCTGCTGCTGGGATTCCTCCTCTCGCCCTTCCCCTCCTTGTCCGCCAACACCTCCCCCCCCCTTCGATTCAGGTTCAAATAGGCTTTTTCCCAAGCTTCAGGTTTATTATGAATACACTCCCATGAAAACCAGGAGCAGCTCTGTCCTTGTTATCCCACTGCAAACGCCCATCCCCACCTTCTCCTTTAACCCCAGGACAAAGTGTGGGGCCCAGAAGCCGGGAAATCTCCGGTTGATGTCAGCAGAGACAGAAGGGCTCCTGAGCTGGATGTCTGGAGGCCCCACTTTCAGAGGTCCTGAGAGCCAGCCTGTACCCAGGCCTCCCATCAGGGAGCCCCTGTCAGGGCTGAAGGGGTGCTTGGAGCTGGCTGCCTCTCACCTGCCAGCTAGGGTGAGTCCCTATGGAATACCCTTGGGCAGGACAAATCACAGCAATAGAAGGTCCTGGAGCCCTCATTCTGGGTCTGAAGGCCATGGCTCTTCCCAGGCTTCTCTGCCCTGGCCCTGAGGGGACCCCCAGTTTCTGGCAGGGAGCTGTTTTGGCTGTGGCCAGGGGCCCCTGACGAAGCTTCCAACAAAGAATGGCTTAGGGGCTGAGGCGTCTAGGGCCCAGGAGTCATGGAGGTATGAGCTGGGCAGCCTTAGGGAAAAAAAGAGGCAAGATAATGCCCCCACACCAACGGAGCCACAGGGCAAGGCTAAGTCCAACTGCTTCCCAATGCAGAGAGCAAGGACTTTCCTGGGGCACAGGACCTCCCCACATCATTGACTTCCAGGCTCTGGGCAATCCTCAGAACCCTCTGAGTCTGGGAAGAGGCCCCCGGGAGCCTCCTTTGACCTCCCCATGGCACAGGGGTGTGTTAGCCAGAGAGGCTGCCTAGACGTTTGTCTCCAGCTCGTTTATCTCGATGGTGCAGTGATCGGCGCTGGACGGGGGCTGAGCTGTCTCATCGTCTTGTTCCACTTGCACGGGGACGTGGTGAGAGATCAGGGCTGTGTCCAGGGCTGGCCCATGGGCCCCTGTCATACTCTTCACGCAGCCATTTCTCTGCGATGCCACAATCTCTTCCAAGCTGACGGGCTTGGTGTCACAGGGTGGCGGCTTCTGGCCCTGGAGCGAAAGAACGGAAATTGGAGGCAATGAGCCTTGGCAGTAGCAGCAAGAGATTGGGGTTAGACACCAGAGGCATGAGGCTTGTTGGGCTTGGCCTTTAAGGACCCAACGAGGGGCAGTGGGAGGTCATAGGGGCCAGATTTTTGATCTAGCGCATGGAAGCAGAGCTGTCCAGCCGTGATAGAATGGTGGCCTTGGTAGGGTAGGTAGTGAGCTTCCCATAACGTGGAAGGGGAGACTCCCTCCCATGAAGGGTGAAGGCTGGTTACCCTTTATGAGGATGTTATGGGGGCCCAGTTCTTAGGTACAGGTTGAACTGCCACTCCCAGATCCTGTGGTTGGGCAGAGCACCAATCTCTGAGGAGTTAGGAGAGTGGTAGATACAACTCCAGCTGGGAGTGGAGACTTGGGTCCAGTCCTTGTTGTGCTTCTAATGCACTGGGTGACCTCAGACAAGTCCCTTCTGCTCTTGCGGTCTCAGTTTCCTCATTTGTAGAACAGGAACAATAGTGAGAGGCTCACGCGAGATGGGCCACACAAGGCCCTGTAATCCTTTACCATCACCTGATCAGAGTTGCAATGGGCCTTGGTGGGTGCCTAGACCAACCCCGAATCTGATCAGGGATGCTTTCTACAAGACACAAGACAAGCGGTCATCCTGCCTCCGTCTGAAGGGCTCCACCGATGGGGAGTGAGTTCCCCATCAAGCGGCCCCTGTCGCTTTTGGGGATAGCTCACTTGGTAAGAAGTTTTTTCTTTCCTCTTTCCTCCTCTTTGATTCTTGAATTCCTATATAACTTGTAAAGCCTAACCCCCTCCATAAAGCTTTCCCTGATCCTGAACGCCAGAGAGGGAAATGGCAAAGCACTCTGGCATCTTGGCCAAGAAAACCCCAAATGGAGTCATGGAGAGTCAGACACGACTGAAAAAAGACTGAACAACAAAACCCTCTAAATGCACGTGTCGTTTCCGCTATCCTGGCGCTCTTTGTCCTGTCTTCTCCTCCAATTAGACCGTCTGAAGCGCGAGGACAGAGGCGCTCTCTTAGCCAAACTTGGTGTCTCTGCCTGAAGCCAGCACATCTGGAATTCCGTAAATGTTCCTTAAATTTGTCAGTAAGTGATCACTAGCCCTCGCTCTTATGTGGGACTTTAAACTTTTGAGCTATTCTCAGCAATGCAATGATCCAAGACAATCCCAAAGGACTCATGATGGAGCATATATACTATCCGCCTCCAGAGGAAGGGCTGAGGTTGATGGAATACAGACAAGCATGCTATTTTTCTTTCTTTCTTTCTTTCTTTCTTTCTTTCTTTCTTTCTTTCTTTCTTTCTTTCTTTCTTTCTTTCTTTCTTTCTTTCTTTCTTCTCTCTCTCTCTCTCTCTCTCTCTCTCTCTTCTCTCTCTCTCTCTCTCTTCTCTTTCCCTCTTTCTTTCTTTCATTTTTCCCTTTTATTTGAGTTTTCTTGTACAAAATGACTAATATGGAAATGTTTTACATAATTGCACATGCATAACCTCCATCTGATTGCTTACTACCTCAAGGAAGGGAGAGGGAAGAGAGGAAGGGGTAGGGGAGGGAGGGAGAGATAGAATTTGAAACTCAAAACTTTAAATAAAAATGTTAAAAATTATTAAAAAAAAAAAAGAAATGAAATCCTTTTCTGATCTATCATCTTATCTGAGCCCAGAACAAGCCTGTGTGGCTGCTGGGTATAAGCATTCCCATTTGATTAAGAACCGAGGCCCTCAGAAAAGTGACATGCCCAAGGTCACATAGCACAGTGGTAACAAAGTCTGGGTTTCGGTCCTGTACTCTGACCACTACCCCACACTGCCTTTTACAGAATTATTACTATTATTTTTTTAAGAACAAGAAGAAAGGGAGCTTTGGTATCATTGAATCTAACCCACTGGATTTACAGGTAAGGAGACAGAGAGCCAGGCTTGATGAGATTTGAGGGGATGGCCAGGCCTGGGTTCAGGCCGAGGACGCGAGTGAAGTTTGAGCCTCATTCTTACCGCTGTGCCCACATCTCGGGCAAAATCCTTCCGGCAGATGTGAGCCATGATCCCAGCAGCCAGTGCGTCACCCAGGACATTGATCATGGTCCGGAAACGGTCTCTGATAAACCAAACCAGGGACTTCAGAACCAGGGGCCAGAGCCCCTGATCCCTAGTCATTCAGTCCATCAGCAGGACTCTATCCCAAAGTAACTCAGTCCTTCTCTGGGCCAGATGGCCCCTTTGTTTTCTGGGCTAAAATGGTTTGCCAAGCTAATGAACAAGGCAGGCAATATGGTGAGGGTGAGGGAGTAGACTGCTGAGCCTCCTAAGGACAAACTCTGGGCCAAGGCCTTCATTGGCTGACCAATGTGCTAATCCCATATGATCTGCTCTTTAAAGCGTGTTGGACAGTACATCCACTTGGCAAAGTGTTGTGAGCTTTCGGGTTTTAAACTAGTCTCCCAGACCTCCAGACATTGAGAGGAGGGAGGGAGAGATAGAATTGGCCCTTTGGGGGCCAAGAGGACATTCCCAGAACCCACCAAAACACCGTGCAGGAAACTGTGTAATCCCTGTCTGATTAAATCCGGCACTGGGCCGGGCAAAGGCCAAAGGGAAGAGGTCCCCTGACTTTACTCTGCCTATTCCCCAACATAGTCCCCATGGGGACCCTCCCTACCCCTTCCAAAGAGACTGGGTGACTCACAGGGCCCAGTCAACGGCAACGATGAGTGTGATGTCATCAGTGGGCAGCCCCACAGAGGTGAGCACGATGACCATGGTGACGAGCCCTGCCTGTGGGATCCCAGCTGCCCCAATGCTGGCCGCGGTGGCTGTGATGCTAGAACAGGAAGAAGGAATAGAGGGAGAGAGGACACAAGGCCAGGGCCCATGAGAAAGCCCAACTATCAGGGTCCCATGACCTGTGATACGGGGTCCCCCAAGAGAAGGGGAAAGAAAGGCTCAGAGGGTGTTGTCGAGGACTTGGCCAGCGCTGCCCTTGTGACACAGAGTCATTATCCCATCCTCTGGGGTTCTCTGGGTGAAGGCCTCAGGTATCTCTCAGCAAAGCCCAAGGCACAAGATGCCCCAGGGGCACCCAAGGAGAGTCACCCAGGTAGCTTGGAGAAGAGTGATAGCAATAATAATAATAATAATAATAATAATAATAATAGCTATAACAACATCCTAATAATATTATTAAACTACAAAAGGCAGTGATTTTAGCCACCTGTGCAAGGAAGGGTCCCTAGAACATTAAATATGAAAGAGTAATAGCAGGATAGAGACTTGTCTCAAGGTTAGGTTTTTCTGAACTCCATCAAACTGAGAAACTAATGACAATAACAATAATAACTTTCATTTCTATAATACTTTAAGATTTATAAATCACCTGGCTCTGGGATACAGTAAATAGAAGGATTATCAATCCCTCTTTTATAGATTCAGACACCGAGGCTCAGAGAAAAGACTTGCCTGTGATTGTAGCTAGCGAGAGACAGTAGAAAGAATGATGCCTAGGTTCAAATACTGCTTCTGTCACACACTTCCTATGTGGGCAAGTCCACTATTCTCTCTGAGCCTGTTTCCTCATCTGTAAAATGAAAGGCTTGAACTAGCTGGTCTATTGGGTCCTCTCCAGCTCTAGAGCTAGGATCTGGAGCTCCACTGCTCTCCACTACCCCAAGCTGCCATGAGAACCTAGAGGGGAGAGAACTCACATGGCAGGTGCCCCATAAATGGGAGGCCCAAGCACCACTTTTGTCTTTGCTACTAACCATTGGTGTGATCTTGGGGAAGTCTTTCCCCTCTCAGGTCTCAGCTTCTTGATCTATAAAATGATCAAGTTGGACTGGATAGGAGCTAAGGTCTGTCTTTGCTCTAAAATTCCCTGTTCTAAGCTCCCTCCCAGCTCTGACATCCTCTGCTCTAAGGCCCCTCCCAGCTCTGACATCCTCTGCTCTAAGGCCCCTCCCAGCTCTGACATTCCTGGTTCTCAGGCCCTTCCCAGCCCTGACCTTTCCTGTTCCAAGGCCCCTCTCATGTCTGAATCCCTTTTTCTAAGCTCCCTCCCATCTCTGACATCCTCTAAGCTCCCTCCCAGCCCTAACATTCCCTGTTTGAAGGTCTCTCCCAGTGTTAAGATTCACATTCTAAGGGCCCTTCCTTCCTTCACTGTCTTTATTCTACGGTCCCTTCCAGCATTACCATTCTATTTTCTGACATCTTTTTCAGTTGAATTTAAGACAGTTTCCAGTTTGGACTTCCTTAGCCTAAGGCCTCGTCAAGCTCTAACACTCTAAGCTTTATGTTCTATAATTCTCTATTCTAGGGTCCCTTCCATATTCTAAGGCCCTACCCATCACTACCATTCTGTGTTCTGTGTTCCAGGGCCCCTGCTGTCTCCAGCGCTGTGTGGTTTCGTGGTCTGCCGTAGTGGGTGGTGGGAGGCACTTTGACCCTGGTCTTCCCCTCCTCCCCTCCCCCTCCTTTCCTTGCCCCTGGGTGTGGGGCTGGGGGTTGGCACCTGACGGTGACGATCTGGCCAAAGTCCAGCTCATGGTTGTTGACTTGGGCGATGAAGATGGCTGCCACAGCTTCGTAGAGGGCCGTGCCATCCATGTTGATGGTCGCTCCCACGGGGAGCACGAAGCGGGCAACGCGCCGGTCAATGTGGTTGTTTTCCAGCAGGCATTTGAAGGTGATGGGCAGAGTGGCTGAGCTGTGGGAAGGGAGGCGGCTTCAAATCCTGCTCCCTGGCCCTCAGAGCTCAGGAGAGGGCGCTTACTGCCCCAGGCATTACCAGGCTCTGTGGCTGCATTCCTACAGGGCCGTCCAGAGCTCTCTTGGTGTCTGAACCAAACTGACTGCCCTGCACCCTTCTGAGACTCCCTTCCTTATTCTTTGCATAGATCTTGTATGTATATGGTTTGCATGCCCTCTCCCTCATTATAATGGGAGCTCCTTGAGGGAAGGGGCCATGAATTTGCCTTTCTTTGGGTCCCCATTGCTTACCACAATGCCAGGCACACAGTAGGTGCTTGTTAAATGCCTGTGGACTGACTCCCTAGCCTTCCTCCCTTTCCCTTTAGACCTATGGGAGATGTGCTGCTGAGGTGGCAGGGTTAGCCATAAATCAGGCCTTGTATGAACATGGCAGAGCATAGGCGTGCTCACAGAACCTCCGAGGTGGAAGACACCTCCCAGGCCATTGGCCAGCAAAACTGAAAAGGGATGTCCATAATAATAAATTTAGCCGGCGCTCCTCCCTTCTCATAAACATCTCCAGTGACAGGGAGATCACTACTCCCCAGGTCATTCCCTTCTCCTTGGGGCCAACTTTCCTGGTTAGAAAGTTTTCCTCCATAACAAGCTTAAATTTGCCTCCTTATAACTGCTCTTCCTCCCTCACCTTCCATTGCTCCTAGCTCTTTCCTCTGTGTCCAAGCAGAACAAGGCCAATCCTTTCTTCACAAGACAAACACTTAAAGATGTCTACCACGTCCTGGCCCTCCCTCCCCCCAAGTCTTCTCTTCTCCAGGCTCAATCCATCTGAGGACATGGACTCAAGGCCCTTCACCATTCTGGTTGCCCTCTTTATGGCCACTCTCCAGTTGATGAATGTCCTTAAACTAGGGAGTCTAGTACTAAACGCAAGACTGCTGATGAGGTCTAATGAGGTCAGAGTCCAGTGACATGATCCCTTCCCTCTTCATGCAGCCCAAGACTGTATTAGAGTTCTTGGCCGCCATCTTGCATTGCTGACTCCTATTGAGCTTGTGGTCCATTAAAACCCTCAGATCTTGTTCAGAATAACTGCCATCTGACTATTCCTCACTCATACTGTTCTTCAAGTTTTTTGTGAAGTTGATCCTTTGAACCCAAATTTACAGTCTGGCTCCAAAAAGATCTCAGGCCAGACCATAGACTTGGGTTCAATGTATTTGTTTTCCTTCTAAGATCCCCTCCCCAAAGGGACATTCTATATTCTAAGCTCCCTCTCATCTCTGACATTCTCTGTTCTAAGACCCCTTCCATCTCTGACATTCCCAGTTCTAAGATGCTTTCCAGCTCTGACATGTTCTGTTCTAGGGTCCATTCTATGCCCACCCTCCCCAGAGTTGCCATTCTCTGAGTCAAAGAGTCTAGGTTTGGAGCCACAGGACAAGGGTGGTGGTTGCAATGGCAGCAGGACGTGCCTTTAACCAGCCCCAGATGCCTGGGTCTAGTGAGGTCAGGACTTTAGCCAAGAGCCCAACTCGTTTGGATATGGCTTCTTCTACATGAACAGACTGGCCCCACCCTCTCAGCAGCACTCCAATCAGTAGAAACCTCTCCCATACTCTCCCCCTAGTTCTCACTCCCTTCCAGCTCTATCTTATGACTTGGAACCAGAGGAGTTTGGTTCCAGTCTCTATCTTACTGCATACTAACTGTGTGTCCTTGGCAAATGAGCCTCCTAATAGAATTGGGCAAGAGGTTCAGTTTTAAGACTTTAAAATTTTGTGAAGCCAAGACTCTACTCTGTCATTCTGTGGTTGTAGGACATTATGGTTCTAAATAAGATTCAGTGGGTCTGGGTTTCTAAAAGCCTCAGATAGTTGGAACTCTGAAATCTGAGGGTACTTGAAGCCTGCGGTTCTACCTGGAAGATGTGGCCAAGGCAATGAGCAAGGCTTGGAGGACGCCCCGGATGAAGACGATGGGGTTTTTCTTAGTGATGACGAAGTACAGCATGGGGAGGATGAGAAGTCCATGCACCACCAGGCCACAGACCACAGTGACAGCATAGAAGCCGAGCTTCTTCCCAATGGCTGTGGGGTCGTCCATCTCCAAGATCTTCCCAGCAATGAGGAACACGATGCCAAAGGGGAAGTACCTGAGAGGGCATGGCAGTCACTTCTCACTATGTGGCCTTGAAAGCCCTGGCCAGGCATCACCTCCCAGGGCAGCCTTCCCTGACCACCCCTAGCCCACCGTGCTCACTGTGAGGTTCTATGAGAACTTGGACAGCCCCGACTGTTTGGGCATCTCCCCAGTGGATACTGATAAGAAAAAAGCCTTGCATTACCATTTTGTTTTGTTTTGTATTAACTGTGCAGGAGACACAGACTGATAAAGTTGGGAAGGAACCTTAGAACTTGGAATGTCAGAGCCTGGAGGAGCCTTAGAACAGAGAGTGTCAGAGCTGGGGAGGGGACTTAGAACAGAGAATGTCAGATTTGGGAGGAGGCTTAGAACAAAGTATAACATAAACCCTTGGAGATAGGCAGTACACATACTAGTAATCCCAATTTACTGATGAAGAAACTGAGGCATGAAACCCATGGTCCCAGTCATCAAGTATCAGAAGCAGGATTTGAACTTTTGCAGCCAAGTAGCAAAAAGGATAGAGCCCTGGACCTGGAGTCAAGAAGACCCAAGTTCAAATCCTGACTCAGTCACTTACTAACTTTGTGAGCCTGGGTAGGTCATTTACCCTCTTATAACCTCAGTTTCCACATTTTCAAAATGGGGATGACAACAGTGCTTACCTCCCAGGGTTGTTATGTGAATCAAGTGATATAGGTATTTGTAAAGCACTTTGTAAACCTCAAATATCTGTAGAAATCTTGATGGTTATGGTGACAGTGAAGATGGTGATAATGGTGATGAAGGTGATGATGATGATGATGGTGGTGGTGGTGGTGATAATGGTGATGGTGATGATAATGGTGATGAAGGTGATGATGATGATGATGGTGGTGGTGGTGGTGATAATGGTGATGAAGATGATGGTGGTGATAATGGTGATGAAGGTGATGATGATGATGATGGTGGTGGTGGTGGTGATAATGGTGATGGTGATGATAATGGTGATGAAGGTGATGATGATGATGATGGTGGTGGTGGTGGTGATAATGGTGATGGTGATGATAATGGTGATGAAGGTGATGATGATGATGATGGTTGTGGTGGTGGTGGTGGTGATAATGGTGATGAAGATGATGGTGGTGATAATGGTGATGAAGGTGGTGATGATGATGATGGTGGTGGTGGTGGTGATAATGGTGATGAAGATGATGGTGGTGATAATGGTGATGAAGGTGATGATGATGATGATGGTGGTGGTGGTGATAATGGTGATGGTGATGATAATGGTGATGAAGGTGATGATGATGATGACGGTGGTGGTGGTGGTGGTGGTGATAATGGTGATGAAGATGATGGTGGTGATAATGGTGATGAAGGTGATGATGATGATGATGGTGGTGGTGGTGGTGATAATGGTGATGAAGATGATGGTGGTGATAATGGTGATGGTGATGATAATGGTGATGAAGGTGATGGTGGTGATAATGGTGATGGTGGTGATAATGGTGATGAAGGTGATGATGATGATGATGGTGGTGGTGGTGGTGGTGATAATGGTGATGAAGGTGATGGTGGTGAGGCTATCTCCCTCGACTCCATGTCCTGTGCTCTGTCCACTTCACCATGTTTGCCCTCCTGGCATTCATTCAATGTGTAACTCTGGACAAGTCCCCTCTTCTCTCTGAACCTGTTTAAGATGGGGGCAATAATCCCTGCACTCCTTCCATCAAAGGGTTATTGTAAGGAAAGCATTTTTCAGATTGTAGACGTGAGCTCTTCTGAGCATGTGTGGCTCCAGTCCCTGCATACTCACCACACAGCCACAGCCACGATCTTCATAACAGACTCATTCAGGCACTGGCAGAAGCTGACCAGGGGAGCTCCGCTATCCCCCATGCGGCCCAGCATGATCCCTGTGGTGGACACAGGCAATCATGGATGTTGATTTTGTACATGCAAAAGCTTTTTAATTGCATGAAATCAAAACTATTTTCTTGTGTGAAAATGTCCCTTTATTTTTTTTTTAAAGTTAAGAATTCCTCAAGCAATAGCTACAAAAGGTCCTTATTGTGATAGGGTTTTTTAAGTGTGATCTTTAATAGTCATTACATGTCCATTTTGTGTTTATTGTGGTATATGGTGTAGGATGTTGGTCTAAATTAATTTCTGCCAAACCACTTTCTGGTTTTCTCGGCAGTTCTTGTCAAATAGGGAGCTCTTCTCCAAGTAATTTAGATTCTCAGGTTTATTGAGCACTAAGTTATTGAGATCAGTAGTTTCTGATCCTTCCTTGTCTAGTCTGTTCAACACACCTGCTTTTCTGGGTTGTTTTTAAACCAATGCCAAAAAATCTTTTGTTTCCAGAAAGTTTTGATGCTGACTGCTTTATTGTATATTTTGACATCTGAAAGTGTTATTTCTCCTTCATTTTCCCTTTTTATTGAGACCTTAGGATTCTAGACCTTTTATTTTTCCAAATGAATTTTGTTGTTATCTTATCTAGCTTTATAAAGTATCTCTTTTGTAGTACTAGATCTATAAATTAATTGAGGTGTTGTTTTTATTGTAATTATTTTATTGTATCAGCATGTCCTGCCATCATCACTGACTATCCTCTCAATAATTTAAGTTGTTCTTTGCTTCTCTAAAAAGTTGCCTTGGTAGATTGATTCCTAGATATTTTGTGCATTTTGTAGTTATTTTCACTGGGACTTCCTTTCTATTGTTTTCTTCTAGATTTTCTGATTTATATAAAGAAATGCTATTAGTTGCATGGGTTTATTTTGTATTTTGAAAATTTATTGAAGCAATTACTCATTCCAATTAATTTTTTTTGCCGATTTGCTGGGGCTTTATAAATACACTATCACATTGTCAACCAATAAGAATAGTTTTGTTTTCTGTCTGTCTATGTTTGTACCTTTAATTTCTTCTATTTCATTGCCATTGCTAGAATTTTTAGAATTATATCAAATACCAGTGGGGAAAAGGGACATGCTTGCTTTGCTCCTGTCTTTATTGGGAAAGTCTAGTGTCTCTTCATTTCAGATAATACTAGATTTGGGGTTTAGATGTTTATTTTTTATCTTATTGGAACGGCCCCAATATTCCTATGCTTTGTTGGGTTTTGTTTTTAGCATGTATGAGTGTTATACTTTGTCAAAGACTTTCTCTGCATCTATTGATGTAACTCTGAATCCTTTTCAAGTTACCTGGGCCATATCAACTATATCTTAGCATAAGAGTGGGTGTCTACCCTTACCCCAACTAATCACTGAAGGCCCAAACATCTATTGAATCAACCAATCAGTCAAAAATAAAAAAGGCACGCATAAGTTCTTAATTAATTTGAAAGGATCATAAGTGCTCTGGGTCATTGCATTAAAACAAATTATGTCACAAGGGGATATCTTATGATTAGTTGATTAAAAATAGTAATATTCTGCAGGGCCGTGGATAAAACAAGTTCAGAATCACACACTCTATTAGCAATCCAGTTGAGTATTTGTTGAATCCAATGGTGAAGATTCCTAAGAGAAAACTGCCCTTTTGGGTGGGGGTATTTCTCTCCTTGACCCCCCTGCACTGACTAGGTGAACTCAGAAGATCTGGATTTCCCATCAGCATCAGTAAATATTTTCATGCTGCAGTGGCTAATGGCAGCATCAGCCTCAGGAACTGAGAGAAATGCCAAAGAAAAACTTGACGCACCAAGGAAAAAAAGTGTTAGGGCGTTAATTCTTGGAGCCCGGGAAAGAACAAACTCTTAGTAACCAGGAGCCCTGAGTTTATACTTTGGCTACATGTGCCCTCTAAGCTTGAGCCCATTCTCCCCGAGACCTTTTGTATGCAAGGTGAGAATACATGTCTAATTTGGGGGAATGTGTCTATAATTGCTCTTGTTCTATCCACTTAGTAAATACTCTTACTGAAAGTTGATCCATTCTGACTGGTAACCAATGGGAAGTACACTGGTGGGGGCTTGTGGACAACAGTTCTGGAAACTCTGATTCCATTCAGAGTTACCTCAAGAACTCTGAGTGAAATTATTGGTATCAACTCCTCTCTGGGGACCTGGCCTGCCAATTCAAGGGGGAGTTAAAGAATTAGCCCTGAAGGGGGTGCTACATTTGCAACATGGAAGAACTGGTATAAGCTATTTCTGAACCACTGTTAATGATTTTTGAAATATCATGGCAACTGGATGAGCACAAATTTTCTGATTTTCCAAAGAGATTGGGGAAAAGATGGTATTTTGTCAGTCTAAAAGTCTAAGAGGTGGGTCCAGATATTCCCATTGTTCTCTTGCTGCCTTGGTCTCCTTCCATCTCTGGAGTCCTGCAGTTCCTCCTCTTCTGGGGATACATGTACTTCTCTAGAGGCGGTAGGGGGCCAAGTGGTCTTATCTCACAAGCTTCTCTCCCATTCGTCCAGCTCTGTCTGTACCTGTCTGGGCAGCTCCTCCAGTCCATTTCAGCTCACTCTCCTCCCCTGTCTACCCTCACCCTTCATCCCCAACTTCGAATATCAGCTCCTCACAAGTAGGGGTTGTTTTCATTCTGTGTACAGCTGGAGAATGCCTGGCACACAGTAGTTGCTTAAAATGCTTGCTGATTGATTGAGTGAGCCAGCCCCATCCCACTCTCCTTTTTAAATCCAAGTTCAAGGGCAGTCTGGACCATTAACATAAGCAGCAATCGGGTAATGGAGGCTAATTCAGCGGAAATACAGGACTTAACCAAGGACACATCTCAATGACCAAAGGAAGCCCTCATCTGTGTTAACTTGGTTTGTAAGGAGTTAACATTATCAGAGAAATGCTTCTATCCCTCCTTAAGGAGATAAAGGTGATTTTTTAAAAAATTCAATTTTGTTTTGCTTTCCTTTTTTTCAATTAACAAAGCAGTTATATATCCCTTCCCCATTGGACAAAAAAAAACCCCAACCCAATAAAAACAATAAGAAAATCCTTGTAACAAATATGCATGGTCCAGAAAAGCACATTTCTTCATTGACTGTGCCCAATAATGTATGCCTCATTTTGCACCCTGAACTCGTTACCTCTCTGTCAGAAGGTGGGTAGCATGTTTCCTCAGCAATCCTTCAGAATCATGTCTGGTCATTGCATTGATCAGGGATCTTAAGTCTTTTTAAAAAATTTTTTTAAGGTCATTGTTTTCCTTTACATTATTTTGATCATTCTGTAAATTGTCCTCTTAGTTTTGCTCACTTCATTTTACATCAGTTCATACAAGTCTTCCTAGTTTTTTCTGAAACCATCCCCTTCATTTCTTACAGCACAATGGAATTCCATCACATTCATATACTGTAACTTGTTTATCTGTTCTCCAACTGATGGGCATGCCCTCAGTTTCCAATTCTTTACCAAAATGTTTTTGTACCTATGTGTTCTTTTCCTCTTTTTTGTACGAGAGGGAATTAAGAAAGTTTTACCTGGATTTTCTTAAAAAATAACCTCTACAGAGAGAATGTAAGAGCTGGGAGGGACCGTAGAGCATGGAATGTCAGAGCAGAGAATATTAGAACAGAAACTGTTAGAACTGGGAAGGCCATCATCCAGGCTCTAGTCCAATCCCTGCATTCTATAGATGAAGGACTGAGGCCTGGGAAGCAGTGATTCTCTCAAGGTCATACTGCGAGTTAGACACAGTGCAGATCTCCTTTCTCCCAGGCAGGTGCACTTATGGTAGGTCCAGGGGAGCTGGGTTTGTTTTCTCCCTTCCCCGATCATACCTCCAAGAGATACAGACCCCAGGGAAAGGTGACCCTGAACCCACGTGGTGGACACCTACCCATGGTGGCTGAGAAGATGACGATCCCCAGCACATTCATGCCATCGCTGGTGCCCGGCTCTGACTTGTACACCACCTCGGGAGGAGGCGTGAGGTCCAGGGCGAAGTTCTGCACCTGGGAGCCATTCTCCTCCTGGACCCCATAGATGAGGATCCGCTGAGGGGTAGTCTCTGACGCCACGGCCTTGCTGGACTTGACCATCGGGATGTTCTTGGTGCGGTACTGTTGGATAACATCCGCATCCCCACCGCGTCCCAGGAAAGCAGCCAGGGAAGAATCAAGGGGGAGGTCAGAGAATTGTTACTTGTAGATCTATGCATACAGTAGGCACTTAATAAATGCTTGTGGTATTGAAGAGTATTACTCCATATGGTTATTATAATAATGATAAACATTATAACTTAATAATAATAATAAAGAGGCAGCATGGAATGCTGAATAGAAAGCTAGGCCTTGGAGTTAGATAGATCTGCTTTCAAATCTTGCATTTGGCACCTTCTGGCTGTGTGACCCCAGGTAAGTCACTTGACTTGTCAGTGCTCCAGACACCTTCCCTAAGACTGAGAGCTGTAAAGCAGGTGATGATTTGAATTGGCAAGGGAGAGTTTTCTTAATGAGAGTTTTCTAAACCAATAAAATCATGGGTTGAGCTAAAAAAATTAATATTAATTGCAGTGTAACTTAAAATAATAAAAATGAATGTTAATTACAGCATAAAATAATAAAAATTAATATCAATTATAGCATAACTAAAATAATTAAAAATTGATATTAATTACAGTATAAATAAAATTAATATTAGTTACAGTATGTGTGTATTATTAGATAATTAAGATATTTTAGAGTTGACATAGTATAGTGGATACAGAGCTGGCTTTAGAGTCAGGAAGAGCTGCATTCAAATCCTACCTTAGATACTTACTAGTTGTATGACCCTGGGCAAGTCCCTTAACCTCTCTGTGACTCAGTTTCTTCACCTGTAAAATGAGGGGGTTGGACCCAGGGGCCACTAATTTCCCTTCCAGTTCTAAACTAATGATTAATGTAGACTGTTTGATCAATATTTAATGATATTAATTAATGATGAGTGAAACACATTAATGAATATAATTACTTATTATACTTAATCCCTGACGTTTTCCCATTTCTGCTCTCATTTGGCCTTCACAATGGCCCTGCTGGTTTCAACAGGATGGAGATCATTATTACCACTAGAAAAGCAAGGAAACTGAATCTCAGAGAAAGGAAGCAACTTTTCCAGGGTCACATAGCATCCCCCAAAGGGGGTCATCCACCCTCTGTTAGAACACTTCCAGTGGGGTGAGCTCGAGACCAGATGGAAGCTTGTTCTGGTCTTGGACCTCTTGAACCCTAGGATGCTCTGGGTTAAATTGATCAGAGATTTCCCCCTGTAACTCCCCCCTTGCTCCTCTTTACTCCCCCTTCCCAAGCCAATCTGTCCCCCATTCTCTTGGACAGCCTGCTGTGGATATGGAGGACAGCCGTCTTCTGTTCCCCAGCCTATTCATCTCCAGTTCCTTTAACTGATCCTCACGCTCTCAAGGCCTTGCTCACTCTCCTTTGGAGGGACCCCAGGTCATCAGGGTCCCTCCAAAAGCCTGGGGCCTGGAACTGCAGACGCCACTCTGGATGTGAACTGACAGGGAGGAAGATGGCAAGACTGGCTTCTCCCTTCTTGTAGACGGTGAACAGCCCAAGATGGTATTATCTTTACTAGCTGCTGAGCCAGACCTTCCAATTTTGGTTCAGTTTAATTCAACAAACATTTACTAAATGTCTAATATTTTCCAGGCTCTGTCCTAAGTGACAGGGATGTGAAGATAAAAAACCAAAATGCTTTTAATGGATATTGAACTTGTGGTCTACAAAGAAAACCAGCTTAGGAAGCAGAATGTAGAGCCTTGAGCAGATGGGATTCTTTTGTTTGGGGGCAAGTCAATGAGGAAGGAAAAGTTCTGGGGCATTGGGCCTTGGATAATCAAGTGGCTGTCCCAGGGCTCCATGAACATTTCATGGTGGGGGGATGCACAGTGGGAAAGGGTCACATGAAGGGAGAGGTAAGGGCATTATGTGCAAATGTTGCGCCCTTCCCAATCTGGCCAAATTTGGTCCTATAGGACTGTCCTCCTGGGTTGCCAACCTCCCATCCCATCCCATCCCATCCCATCACATCCCAACACTAACCCACTCACCTGTTTGAAGGTGGCTTCGACTAGGTTTGCCGGAAACATATTCCTGGAAAGAGAAGGAAAGGAAAGGAGGTAAGCCAGGTAAGATGTTCTGCTTAGACCTTGGCCCTAGAACCACGTCCCCTCCCTGGCACTGAAAACCTCTGTGGGATCAAGGCCCCCATTGGAGGACAGGAACCTGTCTCTAATCTCCTGGGATCTCAGAATCACAGGTTTAGAGTTGGAAGGGCCTCAAGATGCCATCTAGTCTAACTCTCATTTTAGGCCAGAGAACTGCGTGTCCCCCAAGGTCACATAGGTGCTAAGTGATACTCCCTCCACACGTCTGCCTGGTCACCTTCTCTTCTTCCCTCAAGCCTTCCTTGATGTCACCAGCTTAGAAGGACCTCTCCATTGGTCAGCACTCCCAGATCATTCTGATAAGCTCTCTCTTTTGTCCCCATGTCTCCCGCAACTTGTATCAGGCTTATGAGTGTCTATGGCAGATGCCCCCACCCCAACACAGTGTTAACTCCTTGAGGGCTGGGATTACATTAGTGAACTCTTGATGTATGCTTACTGAACTGAAACAAGTTGATGGTGAAGAGTGATATCCATGTAAGGAAGTCAGGAAGATCTGAATTCAGATGCTAAGCAAGTCATTTAACCATTGTCTGCCTCAGTTTCCTTATCTGTAAAATGCAGATAATAATAGCACCCACTTCTTCATGTTGTTGTAAGGATATAGTGAAATAACATGGAAAGCGCTTTGCAGGCCTGAGTTTGATAGAAATGGTGACCATCATCCTTATCATCATTGCTGTTATTAACACATACCTGAAAAAGCCCATCTCTTTGGTACTAACATTTTCCTGGTCCTGCTGGGAGTTAACAATAATATTATTTGTCCTAGTAAGAGACATAAGTGGATAATGTGATGCCAGCATGTATTCTAATGTAATAAATGCTGGTCCCAGGAGAGCTATCCTAATGTACAGTGAAAGGGGGAAGAGGGGAGAAGGGTGGAGGGGGAGAGGAGAAAGGGAAGGAGTGGGAGAAGGAGAGAGGAAGAAGAAGAAGAAGAAGAAGAAGACACAAAGATGAAGATGAAGAAGAAGAACAAGAAGAAGAAGAAGAAGAAAGAAGGAGGAGGAGGAGGAGGAGGAGGAAGCAGGGGAAGTGAAAACTCCCTTGGGCCCCATCCTCAAGACTGGGGGATTTGGACATATCCATTCCTCTCTTGCTGAGGCTGCCTCCTGGCTGCTGATGGATGTTGGGATGTTTCCTGGCCCTGGCTCAGACGTGGCTTGTGGGGATCAGTGAAGGCCAGGTTCTTCCAGACCCCAGCAGACCTCACCATCCAGCCTCTCTCCAACAGCACTGATTTCCAGATCCTGAACATGCTCCATCGCTATGGTGATGGAGAAGTTGTTATCCCTTCCAGCTTCTGTTCCCTAGCTTGACCTCTGGGCTGGAGCTGGGCCATAGGGCTGGGCTCAAGACCTGCTGTTATCCTCCCTGAGGGTGGGGGGAGGGTGAAGCAGTGGGCCTGGGGCCACAGGGGCTTGGTTTGGCTGGGCTTACCCAGGATGTATTAGTATTTCTTTTTCATATCACAAGTTTGCTATTTTAAGTAAAGCATTTCTGTTTTCCCAATGGTGTGATGTCATCTCATTAATATTAAAACTGCCCAGTCTTTTCGAGGGGGAGAATGGAGGCTGAGAATGGGAGGTGAGCCAAGGTAGACAGTATGGAGCTCCCCTCCAAGCAGGTTCTTAGGAAGTAGCAGGAAAGCAGTGGGGAGGGGGCGGGTGAAGGGTAGCCCCCATCTGATCTGTTCAGAGGGTCAGAGGATCAGATGGAGATTCAGAGCTAGAAAGGACCTTAGAGGTCACCAAGTCTTCTCCCACCCATTTTTCAGCTGAGAAAATTGAGGATCAGAGAGATAAATTGATTTGCCTGGAGTCACAAATCAACTGATAACTATTTCTCAAGTACCTATACTACGCTAAGCTAATAAGTGTCCCAGGCAGGATTTGAACTCAAGTTTTTTCTGCCTTTAAGTCCAGCACACTCTCTACAACTCCACATTGTTACACGGATGAGTTCAGAAAGGCCTCAGGGTCAGGTCCATTTTATATGACTCATGAGTAGTTCAGGGCCTTGTCTCTAGTCAACACAGCTGGTTCAGAGCTGGGTCTAGAACCCAGATCTTCAATCTTTTTTTTTAAATTTTAATTTAATTTAATTTTTTAAATACAGATCTTAAATCTTGAGCTTATTCCAAGGTACCAAAGCCTCGCCTGGAATTGCTCGGACACCAGAAGTCAGTGTACCAGTTTGTACCAGCTCATGCCTGCTTCTTATCAGAGCGGGGATGGCTGAGAATGGCTATGTGCAGTCAGGGCACTTGGAATCCTGAATTCCCAGGCCAGCCAGGGCCCAGGTGGGGGTTTAGGCATCTCCCTCCCACAACCAGGGCTTCCTGAACAAAGACAGCCTTGTCTAGCTCACATAGCTGGAAGGGGTGGGACAGTCCCTGTGGAAACACTGCCGGCAGCCAGGACAGGACTCCCACCTTGCTTCTGGAGAGATATACTTCATATGCTCATTACATGCAGGTTTCAGAAGGTGAGTCATGAGCGAGACACTCCCAGACAGCTCTCAGGAACATTCTCTGCTCCTGGTGCCAATTTCTAAGGCTGTCTCTTGGCACGCCTGGCTGCCCCTTGCTCATGGAGGTAGGAAGATGTCCTCACAACCAAACCCTGCAGACCACCCCGTGACCAAGCCAAGTGTTCCCAGTGAAGAACATAATAGGCTCCCTGTCTTTTGTCCTGCTTAGACTCTAGTGTATTGTGCTCTGTTCTGGATGTCACATTTTAGGAAGGTCAGTGACCATCTGGAAAGCATCCCAAGGAGGGCAGCCAAGACAGAGGGGAGATTGGAGACCAGGCTGTGGGCTGGAGGAGCCCGGCCCAGCTTGGGAGTTGCACAGAGTTCACAAAATTCCAGAATCTCAGACTTGCAAGGGGCCTCAGCAGGCAAAGTTTGAACAAGAATGCTGTCTTCCATGTCCCTGGTGAATGACCACCCAGCCTCTGCTTGATGAGGTGGTAAACCCAGTACTTCCAAGAGAAAAATAATTTTGTTTCTAGAGAGCAAAATACATGCATCAAATCAAATCTGCTTCTCTGCAATACCCCCTCCCCAATCCTGCTCATCCCTAGGTCCTAGGTCCACCCTCTGGGTTCAAGGAAAACAAGTCCTTCCATTTGTCAGCCTTGCAGATGCTTAGAGATGGCTATCACACCTCCCCTATCCCAGACCCCATTCCCCAGCCTTCCCTGCCACAAGCTAAGCATTCCGTGTTCTTACATGGCACCATCCTGGTTGTCTTCCTCAGCACGGTCTCCAGCTTATGGATGTCATTACTAAAATGTGGTGCCCAAGAATTGAACACGATACTCCACGTGGCATCCGACCAGAACACACTGCAGAAGGATGGCTTGTTTCTAGAAGCTGCACCTCCCGTAATGATGTCAGAAACCCCAGTAACCTCCCCACTGCATGGCTGACACAGCGCAGTCCACTAACCTCCACCCCCTTCTAGATGTTCCTCAGACAAGCTGCTCTCAAATCATGCTTCCCCCAATCCTGCACTTGTGACATTGATTTCCAAGCCCCAATATAAGACTTTTTGTTTACCTTAAATTTCATCTTCTTAGATTTAAACCAAATGCTCTAGCCTGGCAGCACGTTTTTAGAGTCTGGCTTTGTCATCTAGTGTGTTAACAATCCCTCCTAGCTTTGTGTCTGTCATCTGCAAATTTGGCAAGCCTGCCGCCTTTGTCTTTATCCAAGTCGCTAAGGAAAATGTTAACCAACACAGGGCCAAACACAGACCCCTAGGACATCCCATTGTAGACCTCCTGCCATGTTGGCATTGGACTATTGGCACCTTCTCTTTGGGTTTGGCCAACCAAGCGGGTACAAATCCATCCAGTTATAGTCTCATCCAGATGTCCTTTCTCCATCTTCTCCACAAGAATAACATCAGACTCCTTAATGCTTTGCTGAAATCTAGGCATGCCATATCTGCAACATTCCTCTGAGTTAGTCATTTAACAATCTTGTTCCAAAAGGAAATACAATTAATGTGGTATGACCCATCCTTGGTAAAGCCAGGCAGGCAGTTGGTAATCACTACTTTCTTTTCTAGATGTTCAACTACTTCTTGTGTGATCTTTTTGAGAATTCTGCCTGGAAACAGAGCCAAGCTCACTAACCTAGAGTTTTGAGGACTTCCATGACTTTTTTGGAAACTGGGACTCTCCAGTCCAGTAGCCCTCCAACCCACTCCCTTTCAAAGATTACTGATAGCAATTCAGGCTGCTTTGTCAGGCCCGAGGATATTATTCACCTGATCCTTGACCTGATCCTTGATACTGGGCTCCCTTCCTAACTCCTTATTTATCTTGGACACCAATTCCTAGCTCATCATTTTTGTCCTGCCTTTGTCCTTGTTAGAGAAGTAAGAAGCAAATTAAGGACTGAGCAGTTCTGTCTTTCCTCCTCTATCAGTTGTCATCATCCCATCTATCCCAGGCCAAGGTCTTAGTTCTTCCTTAAAGCTCCTCTTTCCCCCAATCTAGCTGAAAATGCCAATTCCGTCTTCTTTTGGTCCATAGCTTCACTCTCCAAATGGGTTTCCCTTCTGTGAGCTCATCAGACAGAGACTGGATGATCACTTGCCAGTTTTTTTATAAAGGAGATTGTTTTATGGTATGAGTTAAACCAGATAGCCTCTGAGGGAGGAAGGGAGGAAGAAAGGAAGGAAGGAAGGAAGGAAGGAAGGAAGGAAGGAAGGAAGGAAGGAAGGAAGGAAGGAAGGAAGGAAGGAAGACATGTTTCCTACCCGTCTAGTCTCTGATAACATGGCCAAAGAGAGGGACGTAATAGTCCCTTTGGACTCCCTCCCTCCATCCCTTTGCTGCCTTCTGGTATATGTACAAGTGTTTCAAAGTTCTCCTAAGCCTAGCATCATCCACCCCATGAAGTTCCTCT